CTGAACTTTTCCTAACTGGAAGGCTTTTATGATTATTTCAATCTCTTCATTTTTTCAGGGCCTGTTTATGTTGTTGGCTTCTTTTTTATTTAATTTTGGTGGTTTTGATGAATCTAGAAAATTATTTCTTTGAGATTTTCTAGTTTCATGGAACACAAGTTTTTAAAATATTCACATATAAAATATTCTGCATTTCTTTGGTGTCTATTGTAATGCTCATTTCTGAGTGTTAATTTGGGTATTCTCTTCCTTTTTTGGTTAGTTGGGCCAACTGTCTGTCAGTTTTATTTATCTTCTCGAAGAACTAGCTCTTAGAATTGTTGGTTCTTTGTATTGTTTTCTTTGTTTTTATTTTATTTATTTCAGCTCTGGTTCTTATTATTTCTTGAAATACAGTAGGTTTGGACTTGGTTTGTTCTTGGTTTTTCCATCTCTTTTTGTTATACCATTAAACTATTTATTTGTGCTCTTCCTGGTTTTCTAATGTAGGAACTTAGAGCTATAAGTTTCCCTTGTGTGGCTGCTTTTAAGTTGTCCCCGAGGTTTACATTTTCACTTAGTTCCAGAAAAGAATTTTGATTTCTTTTTTACTTCTTCTTTGGCACATTCATTGTTTCATAATTAATGAATATTCATGGCATTGTGTACTTACCAGTGATATTTTGTTTTGTTTTTGTTTCTGTTTTTGCTGTCAACTTTAAGATCATTGCACTGTGGAAGGATAGGACACAATTAGTGATTTTAATCGTTTTTAATATTTAAATATTTTTTGTGTCAATTTGTGGTCTGTTTTATAAAAGCTTCCATGTACTGCTGGGGACAATGAGAATTCTTTGGTGTTTGGATAGAATATGCTATAGATATCTGTTAAGTCCTTCTGATGTATGAGGCCGATTAATTTTGATGTTTTTCTGTTTTTTCTTGTCCAGGTAACCTGTATATTGGAGAAAGTGGAATATTGAAATCACCTATTATTAATGGATTGATATTAATTCATGTCTTTGATTTCAGTTATAGATTTTTTTCCCTGAGGTTGGGCACTTCTTGGGTTTGGTGCATATATGTTTAGTAATGTCTTCTTGTTTATCTGATTTGGATAAAGTTTCTGTTACCTCTTCTTCTTGGTTTCATTTGAAGTCTATTTTGTCAGGTATTATAACAGTGACACCTGCTTGCTTCCCAGTCCCATTTTATTGGAATAGTTTGGTCCAGTCTTTTACCCCATCTTTAAAGACAATGGCTGTCTTTAAAGCTAAGATATGTTTCTTATAGGTAGCAGACAGGTGGGTTTTGTTTCTTCATCAATTCAGTCAGTCTGTGTCCTTTGATTGGAGAGTTGAGACAATTGACATTTCAAGTTATTATTGAAATGTGTGTGTGTGTGTGTGTGTTGGTTGTGATCATGTTGTTGATTTTTGGTGTTGTTGTTTGTATTCTCAGCAGTATTTTTGTTTTAGCAATTATGACTTTGTATTCCTTCCCACAGTGTCTCTCCTATGTCCATCCTCTCTAGCCTGAAATAATGCTTCCTGTATTTTCTTCAGGTTTGATTTGTTAGATATACATTTTATAGGCTGTTTATACCATGGAAAGTTTTTCTTTCTCTTTTATTCATGGTAGTTTTGATAATATATTAGTCTAGGTTTGTTGTCATTGGTTTTTAGGACTTGGTATGCATTGCTCTAGACTCTTGGGCTTTCGAAGTTTTCATAGAGAAATTGGCTGCATTCTGATGGATTTCATTTATGTGTGACTTGCATTTTTATCTTGTAGCTTTCAAGGAACTTTTTTTGTTCTTTAATGTTTTAACAATGGCATGCTGTGGGGATTTTCTTTCTGGTCTTGTCTATTTTGTGTTTGGAGTACTTCTTATATTCATATGGGTGTGTCTTTTCTTAGTTTGGGAACATTTTCTTCTACGAGTTTGTTGAAGATATGGTCTATGCCATTGACTTGGGATTCTTCTCCCTTATTTGTGCCTATTACTCAAAGTTTTTTTAAATGGTGCCCCACATTTCCTGTTGTATTCCTTTTCTGTGTTTTTACATTTTTTCATGGTTTCGGTTATTTGATTTAGATCCTCTATTTTATCTTCCAGACCTGATATTTGTCTTCTGCTCGATCCATTCTATTAGTAGGCTTTCCTTTGAGTCTTCTGGTTAAACTATTAGGTTTTTAATCCCATCTTTATGTCAGCTGGAGCTCTCTTCAGAGTTTCTATTTCTTAAATCCATTTTCAAGTCCTCCATTGCCCTGTCATTTCCACCAGCCTTTTATGTTTGTGTTTTCTTGGGCATCACTCAGGTGTTTATTCTCCTTAAACTCTTTCTCCCTGATTGCATTGAATTAATCCTTTGTGTTTTCTTTACAATTCTTGAATTCTTTGAGGAGGTTTATAGTTTTTCCTTTAATTTCTGTGTCCTGGAGTTCATCTAGATAATTTTCATGGGCAACCATTTCTACAGGACTGGTAGATTTTGGAAAGAGGATACCAGCTTGGTCTTTCATACTGTTGGTATTTCTTAGGTGAGATCTGGAAACATAGACTTCCTTTCTTAGTTTTAAATTTGTTGTAGATGGAACAGTGTTGGGGAGAGAGAAGATGTTGGGGGGGTTGGTTGGGTCTAGAGATTGGAAATGGCAGCCAGGTGGGCAGAGGAGACTGACCTGAAACACAGGATGTTCTCCTTGTTCCAAGGTTTGAGTGTGGTGGTAGATAGGTCTGAGTGGGAAGCTTGGGCATGGCTTGGGAGAGACCTATTGTGTGGCAGATAGGTATAAAGAATACTGGATCAAACCTCAAGCTCCGCTGCAGTGAAAGCAGGCAAGGCCTGACTAGGCTGGTGTACTCTTTCTGGAAGCAAGGCTAAATCTAGTAGACTGTAGAAAGGGTGTGGGTAAAGAGGTGAGGGGTACTCACCAGGATAGACTCTGCAGGAGGACATGGGTAGTCTGCATGTGTTATGAAGGCTGCATGAAGGGTCCAGTAGGTGGGTGATGGTAGAGTGGGTCTTGGTGTAAGCGTAGATGTTGGTTGCAGTACAGGAGAAAGTGATGGCACTAGGTCAGGTAATGGAATTGGGGACACTGTGGAAGCCTAGAGGTCTCTACTCCCAGGCATGGGCCATCAGATTTGTCTGGGGGCACTGGCTGTAAGACCCAGGCTATATCTGAGGATGTGGAAAACAAGTATTGGGTGGTACTCACCAGGCTAGACCCTGGAGGAGGATGTGGGAAGTCTAGATATGGAGTGAGGTGGTATAGGCAGCAGAAATCTGGGAGTGGATCTCAAGTCCTTTTTCCTTTTATCCATCCTGTTGTTTTACTTCTTAAGTAATTGATGTTGCTACTTACTATATACTTGTAGTAGTCTCTCCTTGTTGCTGTGACAACATGGAGCATCCCATAATGGATTTATATGATTTATTATGGAACATAGCTACTCTCTTCCATAAGCATCCTTTTGCGATGACAGTAATCTCTGTCAAGAATGGTTTACTCTTAGCTCTTCTTGAGGACCCAGGACCTTTACTCCTGGGCTGCTTTGCTGATCTCCTTTTCTTTGTCACAGTCAGGGGCAGCCTGACCCAGGATAGGGATTACGAGGACAGACTGAGACATCTGTTTGAGTGGGAAAGCCAGTTCATCTCCTGAGCCGGCTTCTTGCAAGCGTTAATGTGTATGTAGGCTGTTTACCCATCCCAGTAGCTGCTTCCAAATAACCACTCTGATGCTTTTATATTTATTGTAAATGCCAATAGCGCAGACTTGTTACTAACCAGCTCTTACATTTTAAACAAATACATATGTCTTAGCTACGCTCTGCCTCATGGCAGCAGCTTTATTAGCATGGCACATTCATTTCCTGCTCCCTCTGCATCTGCTGGCGACTCCTCTACTCCATGCTTCCTCATTCCATCATTCTCACTTTGGCCTTCCTGCCTAACTATACCTTGTTCAGCTATTGGCTAATCAGCCTGCTTATTAAATCAATCACAATGACATATATTCTCACAGTGTAAAGGAAGATTCCACAGCATTTACCCCTTTTGTCTAAATAAAAACGAAGGTTTAACTTTAACATAGTAAGCCGGGTGGTGGTGGCGCACACCTTTAATCCCAGCACTCGGGAGGCAGAGGCAGGCGGATCTCTGTGAGTTCGAGGCTGGGCTGGACCGATAGCCTCCAAAACAATACAGAGAAACCCTGTCTCATAAAAACCAAAAAAAAACTTTAACATAGTAAGATTATATACTACAAAACAGTTATCAAGTAAGAATTATAGTTACAATATCTAGTCTATTTGTATTTGGTAAAATTAGAGAAAAAGCTCTATTTTATGATTCTAAAGTGTTACATCTAATTTACCTTTTTATCCTATTAAGGAAAACTATAATTGTAGCTATCTAGTCTTCAGCTCCTTCAAAGAACTCAGAAGGGTGAAATGTTACCAAATACAAGGACATCAGGCTGCCTTTGTGTGGTGTGTGTGTGTGTGTGTGTGTGTGTGTGTGTGTGTGTGTGTGTGTGATTTGCTTTTGTGTAGAGCTAAACTCAGCAGTTTACATTGGACAGGAAGTTTGCTGTGGAGTCTAGTGACAACTGACTGGGCCCAAAGCACCTCTTCCTTATGCTCAAACGAGTCATGTATTCTGAGTTGTGCATTGCGAAAAGGCTAACAAGGGACAGAAAGTATCTCCTCCCTTTTGATATGCTATAAGAGACAGAACGCCTGACTTAGGTTCCTCTCTGATTTCTTTACATTCTTTAAGGTGGCAAGTGTGTTCCAGTCTGTACTCAAGGTAAGTAAGTCACCTTGATGAAGGTGACAACACTATCTGCCTTTGCTGGTGTCTAACTTGATATTCTCCCTGGCTAGCATTGGGGTGACCTTTCTAACAAAGACATGCCAGGGTTAAAACATCAGCATTTGATGAGTCCAGCAAAACAGACATTTTCTAACAAAATGCATTGCAAACACAAGCATTCTTAAACCGCAGATTTGCTTTAAAACAAGAAGAGGAGAAGAGAAAAAATGCTGACTGGGTTTACGAAAAAATTAAGGAGCAGCTAAGAGAAAAAGAAGAGCAAAATAATCAAGAAGTTAACATGAAACAAAAACTTGAAATCCGTGTTAGGGAACTGGATTTGGAATTGAAGAGTGTGAGAAATAATCTTAATAAAGTAAGTTAATCATCCATTTAAAATTATATTTTGCTTTTATTTTATCAATTTTGCTTATCCCCTTGAATATAAACATACACAATCATATGTTACTTACATACGGGAACATAATCTGAGAAATATGCTTGGCATACTGATCTGCAATAATTCTCGAAAGTGTGCACTCACACAAGTGTAGCACATCTAACTCATCATTCATAAAGTAATGCAATCTTATCCTTATGGTGGCTTTGATTGGAATGGAAACTTTATTGGCTCTCTTTTTATGCTTATGGCAGCTTTGATTGGAATGGAAACTTTATTGGCTCTCTTTTTATGCTTACTAGAGAGGCTTGGGTCATGCAAACTCAGTTGTGTCCAAAGTCACCCCGAGCCAACAGCTTCCAGGCTCATTGTTTCAAGTCCACAAAGAATAAGGAAATGTGGACACAGAAAAAACAAGGAAAATACAGGTTCATTGAGGAAAATTGAGAATGAATTCACAAGAATAGGACAGGCTCCAAAAAAGAAATACTCTTGTGTTGTTCTGACCATTTATGTTGCCCCTTGTTTGATGGGTTTTATAGATAGATTCAATGGAGACTGAGGTAGACTTTACAAGGATTGGGCATTTTTGTGCACATAATGGGACTAGCTAGTGAGAAGTCTATATGCCCTGCGTTATGATGTCATGGCTCTTCCAAAGAGCTTTTCATCCATTCAGCAAAGGTGGTACATGACTAACTGGTGATCCGCCATGGGTCCTGCCCACACTATCAAAGGGCAGCTAGCTCCTGTCTCATTATGGGACTACTGTGTATTCTTATATGGTCCATGACTAACTGTATTATTTAGGCTTTAAATAAAAATAGTGTCAGGAGAGTGCTGGTAGTCATCTAGGGGAATGTCAAGTTCATTCCCTGGGATGACCAAATAATTGAGCGAGCATCTAGGAATAAAACAAAAGGCCAAGAAATACAGAAAGCAAGAAAGCAAAAGCAATCCCTTGGAATGGGAGGGGCCCTAAGTCTGGGAGTGTGCTAAATAGGCTCTGGGTTGGATATTCTATAGGGCCTCTAAGTCCTCCCTGCTCCCTTATTGGTTATACAAAGTCCAAGTAGAAGGTGTGTGTAGTAAAGCTAACAAAATAACGCTACTCATCTAGGACTTAAATGGCTATTTTATGAAGTACTAGCAGCCTGAGGATCTCTGTTGGGTTCATGTAGAGCTAAGTTCACACCATTTTTTGCTTCAGTATCAAGTATCTTACTTGAGACTGACATTCTTGAACTCACCATGTAGCCTAAAATGACCCTGAACTCCTAATCCCTTGCTTCTCCCCGCTGAGTTCTTGTAACACCAGCATGTGCCATAATTCTCAACTTCACACTGTATTCTGGATAGAACTCAGGGCCTCATGCAAGCACTCCACCAAATGAGCTATGTTCCCAGCACCAAGTTTTTGTTTTTAACCATTGAAAAAGCTGGCTATCATGCAATTAAATATTGTGTAATTCATGTGGGAGGCAGGTTCTTGTGGGGTTTATCTGCTCTTTGAACTTTTTTATGAAGTTTGTCTTTTAATATGGCTTTAGACTTCCCCATTCTCTTACCAAGTGGTATAAGAATAAAACCTTCTCTAAATGTGTCTAGGCTATAGAGGAATGAAATGGCATTAAGAGGCAGCTTTTGCAAGAACAGAATGTCAGAATCTTACAGGATGAGATTCTGGCAAATCAGCTTCACAAACAAAAGGAACTAAAAATGGCACAAGAGAAAATTAGCTCTCAGGTATTTTCTTTAATCAGTTTCAAGTCTCTGTGTATGTATTTGTGTGTACATGACTTTTAAAAACAACTAAAGAATATAAAGCACTTTTCAAAATCCTACGTGGATATACTTACTATACATACTTTGATGTGGGAATGGCTTATGTTTTTAGCAAGTTGAATAAAGTAATGTTAATTCAAGTCCAGTTGTCTACATAGTAATGACATCCACAGTGACTTCATCCAAATGTTCATAAAAGTCCAATTTTAGACAGCATGGCGAAATGTCTTTCACAGTGGCCTCATCCAAAGAAAGGGTTTTAGTATTTCCCTTAAGAATTCATTTTTATATGGTCACAAAAGCGTTGCTGGTAAAAATTTATTATCTATTTTGGCACTGTGACTTCTCCCTGTTGTTATGTCAATGGAGAGATTTGCTTATTTGTTCCAATATTTGGTAAAGAGGTAAAGCATAGTCAGCAGAGATCATAGTTTAGATCTCTCTTCCTTCTTTTCCAGAAGAGAAACAGTTCTCTCCAATTCTTTATTTAAGGACAAAGAGCTTTTGACAGCAATCACACATTGTAATATAGAGAACCATGTTACCTCTGTTTCACCCATAACAAAGGCTTTTGTTTCTATGCTGTGATTTCTATAATGTGGTGTCAAGGTATTTGCTGTACAGTTTCTCTCACACTGAAGCATATCCCTAACCTCAGAACTAGATATATTTATTTCATTTACATATTTCAAAATGACTCTATAGAAAGGCTGTTATGTCCCAGCACTTGGGAGGCAGAGGCAGGTATCTCTGTAAGTTCAAGGCCAGCATGGTCTACAGAGTGAGTTCCAGGACAGGCTCCAAAGCTACACAGAGAAACCCTGTCTTGAAAAACCAAATCAAACAAACAAAAAGGCCATTATACCTCTCTCAAAAAATATTTAAAGTATTTGAAGAATGAAGCATATCCTTTTCATTTTAGGCATATTTTAATGCACAGAAATAGTAGGAACACGTATACTACTTATATTCAAAGTAAATCAATGTGAAAATTATATAGATTTGTAATTGGAGTGTTAAAAAGCAACTTTATTTAGATATAACAAACATACTAAATAGTTTATTAGCATACACCAAATAATTTATTAATGTTCACATAGAGTTTCATAACCACTTCCAGCACCACAGGCAATTTTAAAATGTCTTCATTACTTTGAAAAAGAAACCATACACTTTTATCTGGGAAACCTCTAATAACTAGTCCCTCCCTCCTCTCCTGTTCTAGAATCCCACAAATCTGTTCCTTGTCTCCTTAATTTCACATCTCTCAGCAAATAGAGTGCCAGATATAGTCCTTTGTGTGGCTCATTTCTCTTAAAATAATGCAACTTGTGTTAATTCAAGTGTCAGTACTTTTTTCCTACTGTTTACTCTGTATCCATATCACTTATCCACTCACCGGCTGATAGATGTCAAGGCTCCGCTTGCTGACTGTCTTAGTTACTTCTCTTTTGCTGGGAAGAGATGCTATGACTAAGGCAACTTGCAGAAGGAAGGGTTTATTGGGGCTTACAGCTTCAGAGGCTGAGTCCATGACCATCCTGTAGGGGAGCATGGCTGAAGACGTGGCGCTGAAGTAGTAACTGAGAGCCTCCATCACTATCCACAGGAAGGCAGACAGAGAGAGAGAGAGAGAGAGAGAGAGAGAGAGAGAGAGAGAGAGAGAGAGAGAGAGAGAGAGAGAGAGAGAGAGAGAGAGAGAGAGAGAGAGAGAGAGAGAGAGAGAGAGAGAGAGAGAGAAAGGAGAGAGAGAGAGGGAGAGGGGGGACTAACTAAGAGCAGTGTTTTTTCTAACCTTCCCAAGCAGTTCTGCCAACTGGGGATCAGACATATGAACCATTCTCACTCAAACCAGCACACGGGCTGTTACTGAAAATGCTGCCATGAACTCTCATTTATGAAGTATAACATGTACATCTCCCTACTGCTGGATTTTATTCTCAGAATTTCCTAGGCTGGTTTTACCATTTCACTTCTTTTGCTCTTGCTGACCTATTCTGCTTTTTGCTTGCTAGAGAGCAGAAGGTCTCACGTTGCAGCCCAGATAGATCTGAAACTCGATAGATAAGCTGAATGTGCCTGGAATTTGGGGTGATTCTCCTGCCCCATTCTCCCAAATGTTTGGATTCCAGGCATAAGCCACCACACAAGGCTAGATGTCTCATTGTTAAATAAATTGTAAACATGTGCTTAACGGTTGTTAGGATAAGATTAGCTCTTCCAGTCTAAATCAGCAAACTACACAGATGCCTGCACAGCCATATTTATTGTGGCATTGTTCATAGCAGTCAACTTAAGGAGCCAACTTAGATGTCCATCAACACATCAGTGGGTAAAGGGAAAATGGCATGTTACACACTGTAACTTTATTATATCATACAAAGAACAAAGTTATATATATATTCATGTGGTGCATATGAATGCCATGAAAGTTGTAGGAAGACTATTTGGGGGAATGAAGGAGCTAGCCTAACCTAAAGAGAAACAGAAAGACAGAAAAGGATGGTGTTGCCTGGGGTTAAATACTGTCAAAGAATATAGTATATACAGATGAAAATGTATTTTTGAAACTCATCACTATACATAGTGAAAATATGCTAACAAATAAAAGAAAAAGGAAAAAATGACATTCTTCATACCATAGCAATAATTTATTTAAGACCCTGGCATAATAATACTCTCACTTAAAATATGTTGTGAAATTAAATATAAAATTAATAGCAATAACTTTAATATTGAAGAATTGTTTGCGTTTTTCTCACTGTGGATAAAGAATGAGAGTTGGGATTTACCGCTGTATAGTAATTTACTGACTGCAAGGTTCTGGACACAGCCAGTCAAATGCAGAGTGTAAGGGATTGTGGTGCTCAGCTATAAATGGAACATCTATGTCACACTCCCTCCTCAAAGGTTCAGAATTCACTGCAGAAAAGGAGACCGAAAAAGTGTAAGAGCCAAGGTTAAGAAGTGCCTGCCACAAAAACAGTGTTGTCAGACATGATGGAATGTATTCCTCAAACATTGAGTGAGCCAGAGTGAATCCTTATTATTTCTCTAAGGTACTCTGTTATAGTGACAAGAAAAGTAACTAATATAAACCAAAAACAATATTTCTTCTCAGTCCTAGCACAGGTTCAGCAAGTGTTTTAAAGGACTGGTATCATTCAGGCTCTGTGAATCATAAGATCCTTGTGTTTTGTGTGAGTAATTCTTTTGGATCTGTCCGTAAAAAAAAATTGGATAATTTCTCAGTTGTAACGACTGTAGCTGTACACAATTTTCAGGTGAAGGACTACTGTGTCCATTGAAATTTTAGCACAAATCCCAGAAAGGGCATATTTATACCTGATGATTAATAAAGGACGTTTTCCTTTATTTTAGTTCCAAGAAGCACTGGACCAACACATAGAGCCTGGAGAATGCGTTAAGAAGATGCAAGACTGCATACAGAAGTACACAGCAGCATGCAAAATGGCTTGAGTATTTACAAAGCAAATAAGTAGTGTGCTTTGAGACTTATACCAGTCATGACTATTCATGAGAGTTACTCTCAATTTACTTAAAATGCACAATTGGGGCTTGGGGCACAGTTCAGAGGCATAATTTTTGTACATTTTACCTAAATATTGCATATTATCTACAAAATATAGCTAGAATATATTTATTTTACTTTTTTGTTTTGTTATGTTTTGGTTTGTTTTTTTTTTGAGACAGGGTTTCTCTGTGTGACAGTCCTGGCTGCCCAGGAATGTAGACCAGGCTGGCCTCAAACTCACAGAGATCTGACTGCCTCTGCCTCGAGGTTCTTTTTAATTTTTAAGAATTTAAATAATTATTATTTAAGATATTTGTTGAGAAATTATAAGACATTTTTAAAATTGTCTTGTGAGAGTAACTATTTTAAAATGTACATTATAATAGACTTGGACTTGAAAATTGCAAGTTGAAAGCTATAACAAGAAAGCAAGCAGAGAAAATTGAACAGTTAAAGAAAAACCAACTAAGTGAAATTTTGGTAAGTTATTCTCTTATTTCTTGTTATAATGAAAAGAATTTTTTTCTTTGTTTTCAGACTATTTTAGGTACTAGAACACTTTCATTGATAAACATACCTGTATTCATACCAATACTTACAATTATATTAGTAACAAAATTAGTACTCCTTGTAGAAGTTTGCTGACTTCATAAAATTAATTATCTAGGTAGTAAATTTTAAATAAAAATGTTGTGTGAATCTAAAGCCAATTCATATGTCCTAAATTTTTAGCCACTCACCCATGAAGGACATGTAGCTGTCTTCCATGTTTAGATTATTGTGAATAATACTGTTCTTACCAGATTGTTTTGTAAATAATGTGTGAAATTTAGGTATAATGTACAAAAGGAATAAATTTCTTTTATTAGTGTAGCTATTGTTGCTATGACTATTATGATTTCTGTGGCACATGGTTTGAACCTGACACATGCAAAGTAAGCATTCTTTTTTTTTTTTTTTTTTTTTTTTTTGGTTTTACGAGGCTATCGGTCCAGCCCGGCCTCGAACTCACAGAGATCCGCCTGCCTCTGCCTCCGGAGTGCTGGGATTAAAGGTGTGCGCCACCACCGCCTGGCTCAAAGTAAGCATTCTTAGCACTGAGCTACACACCAAGCCTAAATTATGCATTCTAAGTATGTGGTTGAGTCTCTACTTGACTTTAGAGCAAGTTTTAAAATTTTAATAGAGTAACTATTAGATCTAGAAATTGAATATCTATTTTAATTTAAGCCTTTCCACAAGATTTTGATAACAAATTTCTTATAACTTATATATCTCATCAGGAATGAGTACTAGGTCATCATATAAACATTTTCCCCAGAGGGCAGTGGTTTGACCTTTGGATTCTAGAAAATAATTTTTTTTTGGCTTTACGAGACAGGGTTTCTCTGTATTGTTTTGGAGGCTGTCGGTCTATCCTGGCCTCGAACTCACAGAGATCCGCCTGCCTCTGCCTCCTGAGTGCTGGGGTTAAAGGCATGCACCACTACCGCCCGGCCTAGAAAATAATTTTTTATATTTATCTGTGATCGTTAGCCAAAGACTTAACTGTCTAATCTTTGAAAAAAAAGTTGTTGTTCAGTATGTCAATATACTCATATTTATTAAAACTCTATAAACGTTTCCTAAGCAGAACAGAATTCTGTCATGGTCTCTCCTGTAGAATTTCTAAGGTTGTAAACTTGCAAATATAACCACTAAATTGGAACAATGAAGTTGTTGCTCCCAGTAGGTGATTTTTAAAGTCATAGCTACTAGATATTTTATAATTCCATTATCAAACTACAGTTATCACAGTGTTATGGTTTGAATATGTAGTCATTTTCCCTCCTCCCTGCTCGTGCACACAAGGACTTAGATGTTGAAGAATTGACCACCAACTGATGGATCCCATCAATGGAGGTAAGTGGATCATGATGGCACTAATTTAATTAATGGACTAATACACTCTTGATTTATAGCTAATTCTAATTGAAGAAAGTAGGTCACAGGAGGTACATCTGTCCTTGGTCTCATCATTGTTTCTCTGCTCCATGGCTGCCATGCAGTGAGACTTCTCTGTAACACGTTCAGGCCACCGAGGTATTCTGTCTCTCTTCATGCATAAAAAGACAGGGTCAGTATTTAAGGACCAGAACCTTGAAATCATGTTCCAAAATAAATCTATGTTCTTTTCCCCCAACTAATTGTACCCCAGGGGCAAGGAAACCTGACCAATAGAATATCATTATCAAGAAGCAAAGCAATTGCTGTGTCAGAAATCTAACCATGCTGTTCTTAGGCCCTTGGAATCATCTTGTGTGAAGAATTTGGAAATGTTTGAAAAGTCAGCCTATAGAATCTTTAAGAGAACTGTTGTCTGGAAGCCCAGAAGACTAGAATGTGGAGATTATTGGTTGAGACTGTGTTCATGAAATTTCAAATAGGACTCCATTGTGGGTTAGACCAGAAGCCATCCATGTTTTTTCTTGCAAAGTTTCTCATTTTGTTCACTGTCTAAGACTATATGAAGCCAAGTTTAAAGTGATAAATTAACCCATGGAGGAAGAAATTTCTAGGCAGCCTGACAGCCAAGTTGTGCATCACCATTGCTAATTGGTTTTAACCAGTGTTTACTAAAAACTAGGAGCAAAAACATGATTGGACAATTATTAAAATTTTGTAGTTTGGCTAGTTATGCCTGTATACAGCTGGGGTTAAGAAGATATGGTATCATTTAACATCTGTAAACCGACTGTGTGTGTGTGTGTGTGTGTGTGTGTGTGTGTGTGTGTTATGTAAATAAAAAACAAGAGGAAAGGAGAAAAATTGAAATTAAGAACATTATAAAAAAAAGAAGATATGGTATCTGCAGAGATAAACACCATTTCAAAAGAAGCCAAGGAGCAGGGCACACATCTTTAATCCCAGCACTCAGGAGGCAGTGGCAGAGGCAGGCAGATTTCTATGAGTTCAAGGCCATCCTGCTTTACTACATAGTGAGCCAAGGTTACATAGTGAGACCATCTAAAAAATAAACCAAACCCGGCACACCCATGGCTCATCCTGACCTTTCAATCGTCCGACTTAGGCATCACTGCATGATCCGGAGTATGTTGGAGGACCTCAGGAACCATGCCGAAACCACACAGCGAAGCCGGAACTGCCTTCATTCAGACTCAGCAGCTCAGTGCAGCCATGGCTGATATCTTCCTGGAACATATGTGCGGCCTGGACTTTGACTTTGCACCCATCATGGCCCGCAACACTGGCATAATCTGTACCATTGGTCCTGCTTCTCAGTCTGTGGAGGTGCTGAAGGGATGATCAAGTCTGGAATGGATGTGGCTCGTCTGAATTTCTCTGATGGAACTCATGAGTATCACACAGAAACTATGAAGAATGTGCATACAGCCTCAGAAAGCTTCGCATCTGACCCCATCCTCTGCCAGCCTGTTGCTGTGGCTCTGAACTCAAAGACACCTGAGATTAGGATTGGGCTCATCAAAGGCAGCGGCGCTGCAGAAGTGGAGTTGAAGAAGGCAGCCACCCTGAAGGTCACCCTGGACAACGCCTACATGGAGAAGTCTGATGAGAACAGCCGGTGGCTGGACCGTAAGAACATCTGTAAGGTGGCGGAGGTGGGCAGCAAGATCTACGTGGATGATGGACTCATTGCACTGCAGGTGAAGGAGAAAGGTGCTGACTTTCTGGTGACAGAGGTGGAGAATGATAGGTCCTTGGGCAGCAAGAAGGGAAGGAATCTCCCCGGAGTTGCTGTGGATCTCCCTGCTGTGTCAGAAAAGGACATCCAGGACCTGAAGTTTGGAGTGGAGCCAAATGTAGACATGGTGTTTGCGTCTTTCATCCGTACCGCAGCCAATGTGCATGAGGTTAGGAAGGTCCTGGGAGGGAAGGGCAAGAACATCAAGATCGTCAGCAAAATCGGGAACGATGAAGGCGTCCGCAGGTTTGGTGAGATTTTGGAGGCCAGTGATGGGATCGTGGTGGCTCGTGGTGACCTGGGCATTGAGATTCCTGCAGAGAAGGAATTCCTTCTTGGCTCAGAAGATGATGATTGGACGATGCAACCGAGCTGAGAAGCCTGTCATCTGTGCCACTCAGATGCTGGAGAACATGATCAAGAAACCTTGCCCCACGCGTGCTGAGGGCAGTGATGCGGACAATGCAGTCCTAGATGGAGCTGACTGCATCATGCTGTCAGGAGAAGCAGCCAAAGGGGATGACCCTGTGGAAGCTGTCCACATGATTGTTCCTGAGGCAGAGGCCGTCATATACCACTTGCAGTTATTTGAGGAACTCTGCTGTCTGGCGCCTATTACCAACGACTCCACGAAAGCTGCCGTGGAGGCCTCTTTCAAGTGTTGCTGTGGGGCCATTATCGTGCTCACTAAATCTGGCAGGAGTGCTCACCAAGTGACCAGGCACTGCCCACGTGCTCACATCATTGCTGTGACTCGCAATACCCAGACAGCTTGTCAGGCCCATCTGTACCGTGGCGTCTTCCCTGTGCTGTGAAAGGATGCGGTACAGGACACCTGGGCTGAGGATGTAGACCTCCGTGTGAATTTGGCCATGAACATCTGCAAGACCCGAGGTTTCTTCAAGAAGGAAGATGTGGTCGTTGTGCTGCCTGGGTGGTGCCCTGGCTCTGACTTCACCAACACCATGCATGTTGAGCCTGTGCCTTGATGGCCCTTTGGAGTCCCTCTTCTAGCCCCTGTCCTGTCCTGTCCCCTCAGCTGTCTATCATATGGCCCTACCCAAGCTAGGGATGAAGGAGGAATGCAGAATTGGAAACCCTCAGCCTTTATGACAAAAGGGCAGCAATATCTGTGTGTTTTGCTCCTGTAGAAAGATGCCCAGCTCTGGCTTGGAGTCAGGAGACAGCAAGAGTAGGTCTTAGGACATGGGGTCCAGGTCCTGTGTAGGTAACCCTTGACCCCGGGCCTGACTTGGCCTCTGGCACTCCTCCTTGTGCACTCCACTCAGCCGTGACTGCAGGCTCACATTCCACTCTCCACCTCTGTTCTGCTGCAGCATCTCCAGGCCTGTGGCTATAGTGCCCACCTGAATGTCAAAAAACAGCCGTGGAGCAACGCAGTGGAGCAAACAAACAAATAAATAAACCAAACCCCAAGCCAACTGTAAAAATTGTGTGTGTGTGTGTGTGTGTGTGTGTGTGTGTGTGGTATTTTCCACTAGGAAAATCAGAAAGATTCTTGAGGGCATTTCAGGTATCAGAAAGACCACCACATGAGTAAATAGGCTAAGGTTATTGAAGGCTAAATTCATTTTAAAAAGACTGGAGAATTGAAAACAGCTGGACACACTTCTGACACAAGACTGCCTAAGACGTTGTTTTCCAGAATTCCTTACACTACGCTTAGCTCATAGCTACAAACTTTCTGGCAACTCAGAATTGAACTATTCAACAAAAGATTGTTGGAACTCTTGAAAGGACACAAAATGCATTTTGCATTATGCCAAGGGCAAGAGCCTTTAGGAGCCAGAATATTACCGTTTGGCTAAGCGGTATCCATCCAAAGCCTCATGTGTTGAAGGCTTATGCTCCAGCTGATGGGTGCAATCATTTATCAATGATTGGCTCATAGAGGTGCTAAATTCAGCAATATATTAATTCATAGCTGATGATGATATTAAGATATGGATCCTGCTTCAGGAAATAAGTCACTGGGAGTGTGTCTTTGACAAATGGATCTGTCCTTGAAAAAAAAAGCACTAACTGATGACTGAAAAATATTTTTGAGACTTCATTTAGTCTCATTTTCTTACCATATTTAATACATATAATTAGGCAATTTATTAATAATATGTTAGCTGAGAATGAGAGCAATAAGACTTCCTTGTACATCAGTATCATACAGAAATGTATTAATGGATCAGAAAGTGAGGGACAGTAGTAGTACCCCAAGCCTATTAGTTTTATCAAAAATAATGAGGGTTTTCTATATACTCTAAAAGAACTGGGGGTATTTACTAAAATCATTAGCACTTTGAACTGCCCACATGTCTAAGGCATCTTTGGTGCTCCAATTGTTTTGTTTTTCCTTAAATGACAACATATCACATTCAGTAACATTTCTGTGCCATTTTTTGCGTCAAAAATCACCTCAAAATTCAATGTCTCAAAGCCAACATTTATTTTTTTATAATCTACATTTAAGTAAGGCTTAGTGTGGCCAGTTCACTTAGCATCAGCCTCAGTGACTTGAAACTAGGCACCAGAGTAATCTGAAACCTTGTTTATCCACGTGTCTGGCAGTGGAATCTGAAGTTTGACAAGGCATTTAGCTGGGTTGATTACATTAGGATTCATTCTGTGGCTTTAGCTCCCTCACAAATACAGTATCATGCCACTTAATTAATTCACTCATGCACAGAATAATATGAATCATGTCTCTTAACCTTTTTATCACTCCTCTGTGAGAAACATTGCATCTTGGAATGTAATTCAAATATTATCAAACATTTTCAGGTTAGAAAAAGAATTATTGACACGAGAATCCTTATTTATAAGATTCACTTATTAGAGTACTATTTTACATGTATTATTTTCCTTCTTCTGGGAGCCGATTATCTAACACCATATGATATTCTTATGTCTTCTTTAAAAGTGAATATAGATGCCACAAGAGGTTTCCTTCTGAGGGGTAACTTCATGTTAAGACAAAAGTGTAGAAAAAATACCATTTTTAAACAAAGATAATGAATATGAAGACTATGTTTTGTGACTTTGGTGAATTTTTCCTTGTTGAGTAGCAATCATGTTGTAAGAATCAATTAGAAATGATACTCTGTTGCAACTAAAATTGTGTCAGATTTTACTTTTTCTGTTAGACTATTCTGAGCCAGCTTTTCTCAGCACCAAAGCCTGTGATTTTATATCTACAGAATGATGATCTTACTGCAAAACTGGAAACTGCATCTTCCAAGTGTCAACATCTACATAAAGAAAACGAGCTGCTTCAGCAGGAGTTACTGTCTATGAAAACCGCACAAAAGAAATGTGAAAAACTAAAGCAGCACAAAAAGAAGTTAGAACAAGAAATAGTTAACCTCAAAAGTCATATGGAAAAGAATATGATAGAATGTGATCAAATAGAACAGTATAAGCGGGAAATTGAAGAGAAAACAAAGCAGGCCTTAGCGGAAAAATTAAAACAAGTCAACCTATTTTTGCAGGTTAATTATATACAATATGTCTTAATTCTTTTCACTGCAAATTATATTTTGGGCATATATGCTGTAAGTGTTACTTCTACTTCTTTTTTTAAAGAAAATTTTAAGAAATGGTGGGAAAGGCCAGAGGATAGGGAGGACCAGATTGAAACAGCGGCTTCTGGACACAGTGAGACTACTGAACCCACAAACTCACAGCAGATGTGTAGCCTGCAGAAGATGTGCTAACCTGGACAAGATTGAGCCAGTCACTTAGCAAGAAGTGGGATGGGGCTCATGAGCCCCTCTCCTAACTAAGGAACTGTGGACAGTCAATGGCTTCTAGGGAAGAGAGAGTAAGTTTTTAGAGGGTATATTCCCTAGTAAGTCAGCCATGCTCCAGTAGATAGCCCCACAACCAGGAGTATAGTAACAGCACAAATTGGTACATTATTATTTTTAAGGAAAAAAAGACAAAATAGATGTAGGAGGACTTGAAAGGAGAAGAGGGGATGAACATGATGAAAATATGTTAAAATAGATTCTGTTAAACTCTCAAAGAACACAGTATACTAGAAAATTTGGAAGGCAGATGTTTTCCCTTGAAATAGTTCCATTGGTATAACTGAACTATTTTTCTTAGAGAGTCACTTGATATTTAAGAGTAGCTGGCATAGAACATGACTTACAAAGAAAAATTTAAAATATGGTACAGAAATTGCACTTTGAATTGTATTTGTTACCTTGTTAAACTTTTAAAATTGTTAGATTGTATGAGTATGAACATAGAGTCATATTGATCTGAGGCCATAGTTCATTGTTAGAGCACATGCAGTCAACACTCAGCATAAAAATTTAAATGAATAATTTCGTTTTTAATTTCAAGTTTAATGTAATTCATATTAATGAAAAATAACTGTAATGTAGCATCATTTTACACATTTAAAGTGCATCTGTGAAATAATTAGTCACAACTAAAGGAAACAGATGTGTAATAACTGTTTAAGGTACAGTTACTTTTAAACCGCTTCCTTTCCATTTGCTGTAGACTCAAGCAGCGTATGAAGACAAGCTCGAGGAGTTAAGGCACAAACAGAATGCTTCAGTACGGACTGAGATGGAGCTCAGAATAAGAGACCTGGAATCTGAATTCTCTAAAATGAAGAGTCAAGTAGATTGTAATCAAATAGAAATGGAAAACTACAAGCAGCTCTACCTAGAAGAGGTCAAAATTAGGAAATCATTATCAAATAAACTAAGCATGTAAGTCAGAGCATCACGGAGGATAAATCAAGCTCTCTAACTTGTCCCTAGGACACAAGTAGGATGGGAAAAGTAACTGTAGGATATAAATTTGGAGGCTGGTGCTGCTGCCCAATCAGAGTGTTCTATCACGCAGCCAGAAGTTACAAAGGAAAAGAGGGTATCACCTTATAAAATAAAATCAACAAAACAAGTTATGCTTAAGGGTCCAGAGAGATGGCTCAGTGTGTAAGAAGGCATACTGCTGTTGCATGTACCCTAGGTCAGTTTCCAACATCCTCACCAGGCAGCTCACAACACCTGTAATTCCAGCTCCAGGGGATCTAATGCTCAGGCTCTGCCAGCGCCTGGAGCCATGCCAGCATACACATATTTCTTTTTTTAATGTACTTTTAATAGCTTCATCCATGTCAACTTCTATCTTCTCCTCTTCTTTCTCCATGGCTTTTTAACCGGCTTTATATTCTCCTGTAGTTAACCTGGCAGAGTCTAAAGCTGTAAATTCCATACACTCTGGTTACCAAATTTCTGGTTGGCATCCTCTCAAAAAGAAATATCCGTGTCAGCCATCTATTCTGTTCTGAAAATTATTTCTCTTGAGTTATTTTTCACTGTCACACACTTAAAATGGGCAGAATGTGCATATGATGAAAGAAAAATGCCTTTAAGGGATAGCTTTTAAAATCCTTATATTGGTTTGCTAAATACATATATTTCTAACTTTCTCAGTCTTACTCTCAACATCCTCACAAAGCAGATTGGCAATTAAAGCCAGGCGAATTGACAGACTCATCATCTAACGGTTACCCTTCAAGTATTTTTAGGAATTTTTAGGATACCAGGAATCATGTGCATAGGGCTTTTCCAGACTTCTGTAGTGTTAGTTGTTGGGTCATGTGTCATAGCAGACATCTGTCTCTTCTACCCTAGAAATAGATACACTTCTTTTTTTTATTTTATCATTTTTTTAAATTTTAAATAGCTTGTTTTACATGTCAATCCCAGTTCCCTCTCCCTCCCCTCCTCCCGCACTCCCCATCACCCCCACCCTCCCACCCTATTGCCAAATCCTTCCACATAGGGGATATCAGAGTCTGTCATTTTACTCTGGGTAGGGTCCAGGCACTCCCCTAAGAGTACAGGCTGAGAAAGCATCCCTCTTTGTGCTATAGGCACACGAAGACTGTTTGTATATCAGGGATAGACACTGATCCACAGCTCAGGGCCCCATAGGTTGCCCAGGCCTTCTCGCTGACACTCACATTTGGGGGGGTCCAGATCAGTCCCATGCTGGCCTCCCCACTGTCAGTCTGGGGTCCAAGAGCTCTCCCCTGTTCAGATCAGCTGTCTCTGCTGGTTTTGCCAGCCCATTCTTTGCCAATTTGCTCATCACTCCTCTCTCTCTCTGTCACTGGGTTTCTTGGGTTCAGTTCAGTGATTAATTGTGTGTTTGCCTCTGCTTCCATCAGTCACAGGATGAAGGCTCCTGGATGGTTATAGACATCAAGTTCATTATCAGGAATGGGCATTCGAGGTGGTCTCTCCACTATTGCTTAGCTTGCCAATTGGTGTTATCCCTTTAGATCACTCGAGGTCGCTCTGGTGCCTGATCTGTATTCGATCCTATGATTCCCTCTTCCCCCTATTCTACCCCCACCCCCTCAACTTCCTTTTCCCCCATGACCAACTCTCTTCCTCTTCACCCCCTCTCTTCTTCCCAGGTCCCACTCCCCCCACCCCTCGCCGTGTTCCCCATCCATTCAGGGGATCTTGTCTCCATCCTCTTCTCTTGGGTACTATGCATATATGCATATCTTTTAGGTTCTTTCCTGTTTCCCAGACTCTCTATCAGTGGAAGTGCAAACTGGCACTATCCTGATCCATGTCTAAAATCCATATATGAGTGAGTACATACCATGTTTGTCTTTTTGCGACTGGGTTACCTCACTCAGGATGGTTTCTTCCAGTGCTAAGGGTATCTGCTCCACTATGTTCATAGCAGCATTATTTGTAATAGCCAGAACCTGGAAGCAACCTAGATGCCCCTCAACTGAAGAGTGGATAGAGAAAATGTGGCACATTTACACAATGGAGTATTACTCAGCAGAAAAAAACATAGATACACTTCTTTAGAGCAGGTTAAACCCTGTGTTTAGATACAATGCATATGCTCTGACACAATTTGAATACTAAGATGCTGCTTAATGAGGAATCTCATTAACTGTTTTGAAATGAAGATTATTTAGGATCCGCTCAGGAAAATGAGGTATGAGCAATTTGTCTTTGCACTCTTCATAGAACAGATGAAAGGCTGGCAAAGGTCAAGACCAAACTTCTCCTGGAGAGAAAACAGAACAGAGCTTTGCAATACAGCACCATTGACACAAGATCTGTCTTGGAGTCCACTTGTCAGAGAGACCTTAGTAATAGAATTTTCATTCCAAGAAGTTTCTCTGGAGAAAATCTAATGGTTCCTACCTCAAACGTCTGGCATTCAATTGAGACCACGGAAAACTGCAAGACCAAGGTTGGTTTTATCTTTACTTTCCTTTAGATTCCATTTCTGGTGTAGTTCTTTTTCATTTCAGATAATACTAAGTTATTTAGTTGGCTTGTGCATGTTGAGTGAACATTACAATGTATGCTCATGAAAAAAGAAAACAGAAATTAGATCATCTTCAAAAGTTCAGAAGCTCTCCTTCACAAGCAGCACTCACTTGTTAACTTGAGTTTTCAGATGTAACTAAGTGGTAGATTTTGTGTTTTCTTTAAAAGCCAAAAACTAAAGGTTTGTTTTAAAATGCTTTCTTTGTAAATGATTTTACTTTGTGCTTCTATATTGGTTTCAGTTTTTACCTAGCTAAGTGAAAAATACCATTTGAATTGTAATGGAATTGCATTGGCTCATAGTTTGCTTTCCATAATGTGGACAAATTCACAATATTATTCCTGATGTCATATAATCACTGTGACATCTTTTCATCTCCTATTGCCTCCATTGGTTCCTTTCTTTGCTATCTTAAAAGTTTCACTATAAAGTTTCCACTGTCACCTTTCTTACCTACTCAATTTTTATGCTCCCCCCTTATTCATCCATCAAGTCCAATTTTAATGCCCATGTATTCATGAATGTGTAGTGTGATGATTAATCTATCAGTGGCAACAACCTTAAAGAAATCTGACTCTCAACAGTTATCAACTGTAATATAAATAGTTTCTCTGACAGGGCTGGAACTTCATGCCATGATGATATTTCTTCTGGCTTGAAAGTGCCTGGCATGACCACTGTCATTTCATATGTGTAGCTGGTTGCTCTGTCTGGAAAATATTTGTTCCTTGTATTCTTGCTTTTACAGTCTTTATGCCCTTCTGCCATAATCCCTTAGCCTTGGGAGAAGAGTGTGCAGTATAAATGTGCCATTTAGGGCTGAGCATTCTACAGGCTCTTATTCTATGAACACTGACTTGTTGTGGGTCGATGTGTTAATCACTATCTACAGCAAATAGAAAGCATTTTAATCTATGGATATAATGGTACGTCATTAGAATTCAGTTTAACATAATGTCCATTTACCAGAAAAAATAATAGTAGGTTCTGTCTTAGGCCCCAGGACCTGTCTATCCACAGGTGCATGGACCAATAATGGTGGTATATACGGGTTTTATCTTGTTGAACATTACTTAAATCTAATCAGAAAATGGTTGGTTACTCCCATAACGTTGTGCCACGATTGCACCAATGCATAGTATTTTGTCAGGCCAGTTGCTGTTGTAGATTGAAGGGTTTCACAGTCAGATAAGATTGATGATTGCCTTACTTCTCTAGTGGCATACACAGCACATCCCAGCACTGTGAACACTAGCCAGTATGAGTAGCTTCCAGGTCAGTACCAGCCTGATTTCTCCATGTTCTATGACTGAAGTATGTGGTGTCTTCAGCAATAGGGTCTACCATCAAGTTCTGGGGATAACCAAGATCATTATCAAAACCCATAATGTTAGGTTCTTTGGGAACTTAATGACCAACAGCTCATAGAGAAGTAACCCATTCCTGGGGCTGGATTTTTATTTGTTAGACTGTGATATGGAGTAGGGCATTGTTGCCATGTTACAGAATAGCTCCCCATTTTGACTCTTTTCTGTACATGTATAGATACACTTTAGTATCTGCATTAGTAGGTTTCCATATGACTTCTTTGAACCCTTCAGTGTTATTTATACTTCCCAATTTCTTTCTTTTATCCTACTCTGTTTCTTCACCCAAAATTAATGCTTTCCTGTTCCATAATTCCCTCTTAACCTTTCATAAACCTGCATTATATATTCCCTCTGTTGAAAGCTACTCCATGAGCCCTTAGTAATTTCCTCACCTTGATAGGTATTCCAAATGAAACGCATATATTGAAAGATTCAAGGTGACACCCATACATAAGGAAAAAACCACACATAGTGTTTGTCTTTCTGGGCCTGGGTTACCTCACTCCAGATAACTGTTGGTTTTCCACCCACATATATGAATTTCATTTGAAAAAAGTTGCCAATAAACTAAGTCACACATTTATTTTTCTTAATAGCTGAATAATATCAATTATGCAATTATACTACATTTTCATTATCCACTCATCACCCCAAACAATGTCACCAACTTGGGACCAAGCATTCATATGCCCAAGACTATGTGGACATCTTATTCAACCCATCACAAGGTATAATTATAGCACTTATATCCTAATAGCAATATCAATGGTTCCCTAATTGGACTTTAAGGTCCACAAAATAAGAGAGACTCCGTGCTGATAATGGAAACCTAGTCCACGACTCATGGATGATGACCTATAGTTTCTAACTTTATTCTAAACCCTATACCTACAGATACATGTAGTTCTCACTGCTTCATCAAAGAGGATTCTTTTTGGAGCAGAGACCATTATAGAAACTCACACCTGTAAAATGTAGAGAACAACTGACCTCCAACACAAATCTCTACACCAAAGCCTCAGGGATCATCACAGAGGAGATTGTAAAAGCCAGGGAACAGGGGCATCTGTTGTGATGCCATCTTCTCCATGAAATTTTAACAGTATGACTGCCGAAACAAGTCCTGAAAAATGATACCAGTTAGCATGCCATTGTGGTTATGAAAAATCTCACAAGGCCTTACCTCTAGTTGAAGAGCTACAGGTAATTAATGGCTGAGGAAAGGAAGAATTAGTGTTCTCCAGGGACAAGACCCCTGATAAGTAAGCCAAGTCTATGTGGTCAGCTCTAAATACACACGTAAGCAACACTAAAGGAATTCGGCCGATTGTATTTATAAATTTATATGTAAATATATATGTAAAAATAATAAAGAATAATGAATTCAAGAGAAAAGGGGAGTTGGAGTGAGGAGAAAGCTAGGAGAAATATATAAATTTTTAAAAAATATGTGTGGCATTCTTGTCACTTTTGAATAAATTTTGGCTTGAAGTCTACTTTACCAGCTATAATTATAGATGCTACTATTGGTTTGGGGTTTACAGTTCTTTGGTTTACATTTTTACATATTTACTCTTATCCTTTACTCTCAGCCCATGTTTGACAGAAAGGTGTTTTTCTTGTAGCATTTTTGAACCAATAATACTCTGTATATAAGTGGTGGGTTAAGACCATTCACACTCAGGATTATTACCGAAAGAGGCTTTTCTGATTCCTGTAATATTATGCTTTCATAAGTTGTTTGATGGCTCAGGGTTTGTTGTGTTGTTGCTGGTCAGTCCCATATTGCTTAATATATATATATATGTATGTATGTATGTATGTATGTATGTATATGTTGTAATTTGAATAAGAATGCCCCTTACATGCTCATATATTTGAATGCTTAGTCACTAGGGAGTAGTACCATTTGAAAGGATTAGGAGATGAGATATAACCTTGTTAGTGGAAGTGTGTCACTAGGGATGGCATTTGAGGCTTCAAAAAGTATACACTGAGCCCAGTCTCTGTCTCTCTGTCTCTGTTTTGTATTTTTGTTTTTTGATATAGTGTTTCTCTGTATTGTTTTGGAACCTGTTCTGGCACTTGGCTCTGTAGACCAGGCTGACCTCAAACTCACAGAGATCCACCTGCCTCTGCCTCCCAAGTGCTGGGATTAAAGGCGTGTGCCACCAACACCCGGCTTTGTCTCTGTGTCTCTGTGTTTGTCTGTCTGTCTGTCTGTCTGTCTGTCTGTCTGTCTGTCTGTCTCTCTCTCTCTCTCTCTCTCTCTCTCTCTCTCTCTCTCTCTCTCTCTCTCTGTCTCCACCCCAATGGATTAGGAGGTATCTCTCAGCTACTGCAAGGCACCTACCTGCAAAGCACCAAGTTCCCCATGATGCTAATGGACTCTGAAACTGTAAGCAAGCCCCCAATTAAGTGCTTTCTGTTATAAGATTTGCCTTGGTCTTAGTGTCTCTTCACAACAATAGAACATTAATCTAGTCTTCTCCTGAAATTTATGCTTTTCTGTGCTCTCAGGATCAAGACAGTCTTTATCTCCTCTGTGTTTAAAATTCCTTTAAATATCTTCTGCAGTACTGGTTTGGTGGTCATGAATAACCTTACTTTGTGTTTGTCTTTAAATATCTTTTTTCTGTGAATTTCCTATTCTGCTGGCTATATCAACCTTAATTTGCAATTATTTACTTGCTTATTTTATGATTAATTGAATTACTCACTTACAGAATTTTTGAAAATATGTTTCATTGATGGATATTTCAACCATGTTATTGTCTTCTCTACTTTGTTATTTTCTTTTCTACAACTTGATTTACTTCATCCCATTGCTTGTATGTTTCCTCTTAGAAGTCACTAGTCATTTCTAAATGTACACTTGGAACATTAAATACCTCTAAAACGTAAGGCTTCCAAACTTGGCATGTGTAGAGGACTTGAAACTGGAGATTCTTATATTTTCTCACATTTAGGCTTATGTTGACCCCCAAAATATCAAGTGTTAGACAGACCTTTCTCTTATGAAATTCTCTGTGGGGGGTTGAGTAGATTCCTAGGTTCATATTTACTAGGATGGCTAGTGTCGTATCTGGTGGGAGGTGGTGGTGTCAGGGCTTGTCTCGAGATCACTAGGAGTGGGAGCATCAAGCAAAACTCTGAGATCTGTACCAAACACCAGTCTCCTTGCTTCAAAGCCCACTCAGCATTAAATACTGCTGCTGAGACAAGACTGCTGGATCCTTGTATAGACTCCAGAGACTTGACCTGACTAGGAGTATTTATGCAATGAAGAAAAGATAGACAAATGAACATCCAAACAGATAGAATAGCTGGGATGGGGTGGACTTGGTTCTCTGATGGAGAAATTGCAGCACCCTGGAAACTCACTGTGTTTATTACGTAGAGTTGAACAGAAAGGCATACTTATACACAAGGAGGCAGGGTTTATGGTATCTGACTGGATCCAGGGGATAAGCTTAGGTAGTATCAGTAGGAACAATTTCTGTAGGGGAGCAGTCTTGTGGTCATAATTATCTAGGAGGAGACAGCTACGGTGGACATTGTCGCGTCTGCTGCGCGGCCTGTGTCCGAGAACACGTGCGGAGGGTGTCGGGGATTGACAACACAGAGACTCGTTCAACGATATAAAGAAAACTTTAAGCAGGCCCCAAAAAGGTTCAAGAAAACTTCCTAAGAAAGGCTCCCACCAGAGAAGCTTCTGCTCTCTCCTCTCCCCTGGCTGGTTCTGCTCTGACCCCAGAAACTGATCTGGGTGTGGCAGAAGGGGCGGTTAGTCTTTGGACAAGGTCGAGGTCAGGGTGGTTTCTGTGGGCAGGCCTTTTCCAGGAACTTAATGCCCCCAGGCATTGTATTGTTTTTAGTAAACATGTCTTACAGCTGCCTACTCCCAGGCAGAAGGGGAAGTGGGTCTATGCTCAAGGTCTGGTGTTCCCACAGGACATTTTCTGCAAACACTGGCAACACTCACACTAAGTCCTCCAAGGAAGGCTTTCATGTCTCTGAGCCTGCAGGTATGGAGTCCTTGACATGTTAATAGCATGTATTCACTCAGGACTCACCCCACTTCCCACAAAAGGCAGCAGAGCTTTGATCTTTGATTACACTGAAACTTCAGAGTTTTCAGTTTGACCACCCATGAATCTCAAGTGATAGGTGGCTTCAGAGGATGGGAGATCTGATGACCTCAGGCTTGACTGATGAGACTCTGTAGACACCTTCAAATGATAGGCTTGTCTCCCAGCCTCAGAGGGCATGTCAGCTTCTCTCCATGACTGCCTCCTGCAGCTGTATGTTACATTTAGGCTGTGGTAGGTTGGCTCTGGGATTCTGTACATGTAATTGTACCCTTATACAAGGAACCCAGGAATTTTAGTCTTAAAAAATTAGATTCCCTCTCAAAATGATGGCCTATTCCAGCTCTCTGAGACTTGGGAATGACAAATAGACCTCTTCTTGACTGTTGAACAAACACATGAAGAATGAGTGTATCTTCCAAACTGGACAGTTTGTCTCTTTTCTCCAGGGCCACATAGTCTACCTTTTGAAAGAAAATTGACCTCCCCCTCCTCAAAATTGGGAGGTATGTGATCATTATTCCTTTGTCCCTGTCACCCTTTGTTTCTCTATACTTTTCAAGTGTCTTTTTTTGTGATTTCCAATGTTTTGGCACTCTTGTTATGTTTCTGGAATAGTTCATTCCTTGCTATTCTGAATCTTTATATTCTCTTTATCATATGGAGGTAGCTTCTAATTCATCATCTTACCTAAATAGACTCAGATTTTAATTTTCTAACAGTAGGAAATGTAAAGTTCTTTTTAAGGAAAACACTAAAGTGAAAAAAAAAGTTTAAACAGATACTCTTTTTATAAAGAGTAGCATTTTGGTAAGAGTCATAAACTAATGCAATCAGCCTAAAAAGTGAGTTGATTTATTTAACCTTTGTATTAAAAACACAACTTTTGAGCTGGGTGGTGGTGGTGATGCAGCCTCTAAATCCAGCATCTGAGAGGCAGAGGCAAGTGGATATGTGAGTTCGAGGCCAGCCTGGGCTGCAGAACAAGTGCCAGGACAGGTTCCAAAGCTACACAGAGAAACCCTTTCTTGGAAAACTGAAGGGGGAAAAAAAAGAACCCTCCCTCAAAAAGCCAAAACCCTTTTTTTTTCCTGAAACATGGATATGAGCTAGAAGAAGAGTTAAATTGTGAATCTAATTAATCTTAATCAATTAAAAAAATCTTCTTCCTCCATCCAAAAGCTGAGATCCTGTCTCTACCCTATCTTATCACTTCCTGTCCCCACCTCCCGAGTGCTGGTATTGGAGGTGTGTGCCACCACTGCCCAGTTTCTATGGTTAACTAGTGGCTAGCTCTGCCCTCTGATCTCCAGGCAAGCTTTATAGTCAGAACACAAATAAAATATCACACAACAAAGAGTAAGGGTTATCCAATAGTTATACATATAGTCCCTCTTACTTTGTTTGGAACACAGTGGAATATTCTTCTAGCTAAGTATACCCCTAAAAATCTTTTTTTTTTTTTTTGGTTTTTCGAGACAGGGTTTCTCTATATTGCTTTGGAGGTTGTCCTGGACTCACTCTGAAGATCAGGCTGGTCTTGAACACACAGAGATCCGCCTGCCTCTGCCTCCCGAGTGCTGGATTAAAGGCGTGAGCCACCAGCGCCCAGCCACCACTAAAAGTCTTAATTAAGGGTAATGCTTTCCTTTGTCTTTTATAAACATTTTTAAATTAATGAATGCATCATTGCATACTGTAGTTACATTTAATTTAAAGACAGAGTCTCACTATGTATTCCAATTGACCTTTTTATTACTATGAATCCCAGGTTTCATGACTTTTTCTTACATTAGCCTCCTGTAAGTAGGGATTGCAGGCATCTGTTACCACGGTCCTTAAAGGCCACAGGTGAATGGTGTATGATCCTCATCATAATTTCTCTTATTTAGTTTAAATGTTATAAATAATATTTGACTGATTTCAGGTGTTGCAGGAGTGGGAACAAAGCATAACTAGAGAATTAAGACAAGGTAGGTGTCACATTTTATTCATTAAATATGGGTTAATTAACTAATTTCTGATATAAAGTGTAAATAGCTAACACTATCTCTTTCATTAGTAGTTTCTACATTGATATTTGTTCTTATAAAATCAAGGGAAAGGTGTGCAAAACACAAGCATTCTTAATGAGAAGAAGTATATTGATTCATCATTTATTCCTTTCCTATCACTTTAAATTCTTCAAAGCCTGTGTATCTCATTATCTGGCTCCCACTCTCTTCACTTTTTCCATCACGTGAAACTCTCTGCCCCACGAAAGAGCACACCAATTGGTTATTCAATACCAAATGGTCAGGCCCTGAAGACATACATACAAGTAACATCATATAGGAAGAGAAAGTTGTATTTATGTATTTAGTAATATACACGTGCATGCATGCGTGCGCGTGTGCGCATGTGTGTGTGTGTATTTGTGTGTGTAACAACAATTAATGAAAAAAGTAGCCATGAATTTGAAAAAGGGTGATTAGGGGTGTGTGGGGTGGGTTTGGAGAGAGGAAAGGGAAGGGGGAAGTGAAAAAATTATTATAATCTCATAAACGAAAAATAATTTAAAACTAAAACTGCAATGGCATGGTGATCTCCTCAATTTATGACCAAGAAACCAAAGTTTGTTTACTAAAATTTAGCAACAAAACAAAATAACAACAACAAAAAATCCCACACTTCATAAATTGTCACTTGACAAGGGTCATTTCAAATCTCTCAGAACTTACTTCGTTATTTGTTGACCCTTTATCCTCAGAGACAGCATAAATTTCCTTACATGAACTGAAAATACCCATGTCTATGTTATTCTCGACAGAACTTAGGACTTGTCTCTGCAAAGAGATCCTGCTCTGCCTGTTTCTCTCATGTCTAGCCAAAGCAGCCTGCTCAGAATTCCACTCCCTCACCTGTCTTCACTCTCCTTCTGCTGTCCCCACTTCCTTCTTATCCTTCAGATCTCAATTCTTTCACCTCCACCAAAAACCCAAACCGAAAAAAAGGCACGCGAGTCCCCTCTCTTTGTTCTAGAAGTGTATCTGTGACTATGTAGAAATTATGGACTTACCTGGTTTTTTAGCATTATATTGTGGGGGAATGGACTATAGAGTCCTCACCTTACTGGTACTTGTCACAGCACCTTACTAAATGGCTCTTGAAAAATACACGAGGGCTGGGAAAAACAGGTGTACTGATATTTAATCACACTGACAATTAATTGAGTGTGTTACTACTGCCAAATTATACTTAATAGCTTGTACTGTAATATTTTTAATCTTTCTTTATTCTTGAGAATTTCATACAGATATACAAGAAACATATACACTTCATTTCCTCCTCCATCTCTCCTTGTATCTCCTCCAATATGTGCCTCTCCCATCTTCATCTTTGTTTTACAAGTCACCAACTTCTGTTGGTGCTGCCTATATGCATGGATGGGGAGCAACCCACTGGAGCCTAAGAATCCTAACCAGTGGCTACATTCTCCCAAAGAGTGAGTCTTCTCCTTCAGCAGCTAGCAACTGTTAGTAGGGGTGGAGCCTAGAAACCATCGAGCCCCACCTGTACCACATGTTGGTCTCGTGTAGGTCTTGTGCCCGTGACCAATATGTTGTGAGCTCATGAGTATGACAGGCATCTCATTTCTAGAAGACAGCATTCCTCTCCATCCTCTCGTTTTTATATTCTTTCCACCTTCTTTTCTGTGCTATTCTCTGAGTCTTGGCTGGGGGAAGTGTCCTGTTTAGAGCTGAGTGCTCAGTCTTATTCTCAGCACTTTGACCAGTTTGCATCTCTCCATTGATTCCTGTCCACTGCAGAAAGAAGTTCTCTGATGAATGCTGAGGCCAACCCAGGTCTGTGGGTATAAACATAACTAGTTAGTAGGCAATAGACATCATGAGCATTAGCAAAACAACAATAGTAGGTTCTGTCCTCCACACAGGGCATAGTCATCAGAGAGGAGGGAGCATCAATTGAGAAAACACCTCTATAAGACCAGGCTGTATGCAAGCCTATAGGGCATTTTCTTAATTAGTGATTGAAGAGGGAGGGCCCAACCCATTGTGGGTGGTGTCAATGCCAGGCTGGCGGTCTGAGTTCTATAACAAAGCAGGCTGAACAAACACATGGGGAGCAAGCCAGTAATTACCACTCCTCCACGGCCTCTGCATCAGTTCCGGCCCCTGGGTTTCTGCCTTGTTTGAGTTCCTTCCCTAACTTCCTTCAGTGATAAACAGTGATATGGAAGCATAAGACAAATAAACCTGTTACTCCCAAAGTTCCTTTGGTCATGGTGCTTCGTCATAGCAATAGTAAACCTAACTAAGACACTAACCAAAGGCTTTTGATCAGGCTTACAGTGCCAGGCGATTTCCTCCTATGGACAGGCCTCTAATCCAATCAGAAAGCAATTGGTTACTCCATAGCAGTTATGGCACTATCGTACCAGTGGGATGTAATAGATTTGTCTTCATTCACACTGATGATTTTTTTAAATTTTTAAAAACTAACTCATTGTTGATTCATAGTCTTTGACATTGAGATTTTCTTTTTCTTTGCAGCTACTGCTGAATCTGGACTTAATAAAACTTCTTCTCTAGAATTTACTCATATGTGAAGTCAGAGTCTTCCTAAAGGACCTATCAGAAGAGTGTGTAGAGATTTTAATATATATATATGTATATGTATATACATATATAAAATTTGAAATATAACATTTTACCTTTAGTATGTTATTTGGCTGTTATTATGAGACATTTGGACTATTTTCCAATATGTGTAAAGCATTAAAGAATATTTTGTATCAGAGATTAGTGGTAAAAATTAAATATTTTAAACTATTTTTGCTATCTGTAACTAATTTTTTTGGTTCTTCAAGACAGGGTTTCTCTGTTTTGTTTTGGAGACTGTCCTGGAACTCGCTCTGTAGACCAGGCTGGCCTCGAACTGTAACTAATTTTTAAGTAAACATTGCAAGTTAATACATGTATCATGGAATTTTATGCACTCAGACTTCTTCAATGTTAGTTGTTACAGTGGCGCACAAAGAGTCACCTTAGTGATGCTTATTTGTCAATTTTTATCAATCTATGGAGATACTAATGTTTAAATATCATCTTGATATACTGGTATCATAACCACTGCCAACACATTTTAATTCAACTTAATCCAAAATTAAGGATAAAAAGGCAGATGTTGCAAAAAACTCTGTGAAAATTCAGACAGTCATAATGACATGCTTTTAAAATCTTTATTCCACCAAACCAGAGCATCTAAAAGAAATGGGTAAATTTCTAGAGATATATGGAATGCCAAAGTTAAATCAAGATGAAAAGAAATAATTTAAATAGACACATAACACCCAATGAATTATCTTCCAACTAAAAAATGCCCAGGGCCTGATGGATTCAGCACAAAATTATACCCCATATTCAAAATAGAATTAACACTAGCACTCCTAAAGGTATTCCATAAAGCAGAAAATTAAGAACATCTCAGAATTCTTTTTTGTAAAAGCTAGCATTATTCTAATACGAAACCAGACAAACACCCTACAAAAAATAAAATTATGGACTAATATCTCTAATGAATATGAATGCAAGAGTTTTCTTTTTTATTCACACTAGAATCTTATATTTTTTTATAAATTTTATTTAAGTTAGAAACAATCTTATTTTACATATCAATCCCAGTTACCTCTTCCTTCCATCCTCCAGTGCCCCCCACTGATCCCCCCATCCTACTCCCATCCACTCCCCAGGGAGAGTGAGGCCTTCCATGAGGGATCATCAAGATCTGTCAAGTCATTTGGGGCAGGGCCTAGGCCCTCCCCTGTCTACCTAGGTTAAGGAAGTATCCCTTCATAGGTAATGGGCTCCCCCGTTTGTGCACTAGGGATATATCCTGGTTCCCTGCCAGAGGCCCCATAGATTGTCCACATGGGGGGGGGTGGAAGGGAGGTAGGAGAAAGAGGAGGGGGGAAGAGGCAGGGGAACATGAGGGATGAGGAAGATTGAGTGGGGAGAGGAATAGAGAAGAGCAAGAAAGGAGAACATCAATAGAGGGAGTCATTGTAGGGTTAAAGAGAATTTTGGCACTAGGGAATTGTACAGAGATCCACAAGGATGACCCCAACTAGGAATGTAAGCAATAGTGGAGAGGCTACCTTAAATGCCTGTCCCCCATAATGAGAATGATGACTGCCTTGTGTGCCATCCTAGAGTCTTCATCCAGTAGCTGATGGAAGCAAAAGCAGAGACCCACAGCTAAGCACTGAGCCAAACTCCTGGAATCCAGTCTCAGAGAGGGAGGAGTGACAAACAAAGGGGTCAAGACCACGATGGGAAAACCCACAGAAACCTGAGCAAGTGGGAACTCATGGACCCCGGTCTGACAGCTAGGGAACTGACATAGGACCCCTGAACGTGGGCACAATCCTTAACACATACACACAAAACACAAGGGAACCCCAATTCATAATAGAAAGACATAGTAGATCTAAACCCACAGAGTGATCCCAACACAGTACAAGTAGGTGGGTGATTTCAACACCCCATTCTCACCAATAGACACCTGCAAAGGTTTGTATAGAAATGTTCCCCATAGTCCTCAGTATTTTTTCCCAGTTCGTGGCACTGTTTTGGGGGAGATTTAGTAGGGGTCAAGAGTTTCATGTCTCTCCCACATTTGTATTTGTATGTAGAATTTTCTCAGGCATACTCCATTTGTTGACACCTGGGTTGGGAAGGGTATCCAGTCTTTCTCTGCCAACTGGCTTCTGTCATGCTATTCTCTGTGCTGCTGTCTCTGGTACCTAGTCACTTGTCACAGTGTCTCAGTCTTCCTCCATGAGTTGAATTTCTGCTTAGGCACTAGTGGGGCTCAGTCCTCTATTATATGGTTCCAGCCTGCAGCCAAGGTGCTGGCTCAGAATGGTTCCCTCGTGGCCAGCTACCGTCTTCTCTGTGTGCTGAGAGTCATGAAATAATTTGGCAGGTTAAATTATAAATTGACAATTTTTATGAAGAGTGTTGCCAGGCAGTGGCGACACATGCCTTTAATCCCAGCCTTGTCTACAGAGTGAGTTCCAGGATGCTACACAGAGAAACCCTCTCTTAACACTGCCCCCCACCCCTCAAAAACCCAAACAGCAGCAACAACAACAAAAACAAAGCCTAGTGTCAAAATATTCCAAGGATGGACTCTCTGGCCAGGTCCATCTCTGGTCTCCCAGTAAAACGGCCCAGGCCTTGGTTTGCTGGGCGTAAGTATTTCCATCAGATGCAGCCATACATCCTGATGTATTTCCTGACTGTGAGTCTTCTGTGACCAAGCACATGGAGTGTAAGGTCAAAGAAACAATATCTCCAGCATTTCAGGAACTATCTGTCCTTGGCCTAGGGACTTGCAAGATCAGAGGCATTTTTGTTTCATGGATCTCTTAGGCATATTAATTAAAACTCAAAATGTAGCTAACTCTCACATTGGATTCATTAGTACAAAGGTATTAATGCTCTGAATCCATTAATTTATTTGTCTTTACCTGTTTTCCCGCTGCATTTATGTTTATTTTTTATATTGTATTTATTTTATCTTTTGAGGGAGGACCTCATTGTATTGCTCAGGCTGTGTAGTCAATCCCACGACTCACCACAATCCTTCTGCTTCTGCTTCTTTAGTTCTGGGTTTGCAAATATTTGCCACTGTGCCGGGTTTCTTTTTATAATTGTAAGCCTTCATTCAACTAGCTGTTTTACCATGCCACTCCCCCCCATGAACCCTGTCCCAGATGTCTCCAATAATCATCTACAGATATTTTTACTGTCTTTATTTTCTAGATTTTCTGTCACTCAGTTTCGACTTCCCCTTTTTCCTGGTGTTCAGTGAGAATGCTTGCCTTTTGAGTACAAAGCCTCAGTGTCTTCAGCTCTGCGAGGCGGACTCCATAAACAGTAGGCGAGCTGGCTCCGCCTCCAGCGCAAGGCTGTGCAGCTCCGCCCCTCACAACCACCGTCCCCGCCCCCGGCACATGGTCCAGTCAGCCAATCGGTGCCTTTGACATACCCGGGTCTGTGATTGGCTCTTGCGGAGACGCCCACCAGTTCTTTTGTGCAACGGTGGCCGACGGGGGACAGGAGGCTTGCGAGGCGAGGGACGCTTTCAGGAGGACGTGGGCAGCTTTTGGTGTCCACCCCGGCTGTGCAGAGATGGCTGCGGCGGCGCTGCTGGCTGTGGTAGATAGGAACCAGTTGCGGCGGGTCCCTGTCCTGCTGCTGCAGCCGAGGTGACGGTGGGGCTCGGTGCAAGGGCGGGTTGCGGGGCGCTGGGTCACGTGAGCGGCCCTTTAAGTATCTGCGTGGTTTTGGTGGGCGCCGTTCCACCTCTGCCTGTTACAGGCTCTCCGCTGTCCCCCTGGTTCCTGTGTCACTGACTGGTTTCAGTTCTGAGGCTGGGAGGGTGGCCCTCTGAGCTTGCCTGCTTTGGCACCCCGCACATTACTGCTACCGAAGCGTGCACAGCTAGAGGCGTCGGCCAGGACCCCCTTCCCAAAGTTTCTTTCAACTCAGTTTCCCCATCTTGAGTGCGGTTCATAGAAGGATTCCCATTGCTGGAAAGACTCTTAACTAATGAGAGCGACGTTGCAGGGGGCTAAGGAGTTTTGTAGAATCTGTTCACAAGTTTGAACAAAGCTGTCAGATGACTAACTTGTCCCCCAGATCCTTTTGGCGATGAAGCTCCACGGGGACAGTAACTTCTGCAGTGAAAACCCCAGAGTCGTGTAGGTAGATTGCTTCCACATTACCATCACCTTCCCACCTTCTGGAAAGGCAGCTGCTTAGTGCCCGCCCGAGGGCAAGATTGCCCTCGGGGCAGAAGGCTGTGTCCACTGTTAGGGCTCACTGCATGGTTGACTGTGGCCAAGTTACCTAATATCTTTGCTTCACTTTCTTCTAGGAAGAGGTGATGGTGCTCATATCTAGCAGAACTAATATTAATATGATGCTAGTCCTCTTTTTTGTTCAAATTAACTAGGGGATAAAAATTTAACCAGATAAGGTCCATATGATTTAGTCAATAAACACTTTGAAGAATCAACACTTTTATCATCAACAAACAGTGGTAGATACCTAAATTGTCAGTGAATTCTTAGACTCACCTCTATATTTTAAATAAGAAAGATGGTGAAGCTAGTGTTAATGCTGTTTTCTTTCTTAGGTTCCCAAATATCACCATACTCATTCTCCTCTCTCCTCTCCCAAAGTCTGCTTATTGTCTCCAAAAAAATCTATGGTAGCTGTCATCCTGTTAAAAGTTTCTAGAATTAAAAAATCTTTCCAGCATAGGATTTTTTTAACCAGTCATGATTCCTCCAATATCTCAGGAAAAAAGAATCCCTAGTATTAAGATTGTAGGCATGAGTATAGATGCTGTCTTAATCAGTGTAATTATCTCATGGCAGCAACTTGCTTATCTTGTTTAAATGTTTTAAGATGTAGCAAAAATAACTGTAAAGATAGGATAGAGCAATCATAACTTTGTCAGGATAGAGGACTGCAGGTAAGAGGTATGTCTTTCTGTCTGTATCAGTCTTTATATTAGTTAAAAGGAAAATGCTTTAGGCTGTCAGTGGCCCCATTATGAAGTTGCCATTTCATAGGCACAAATGCCTGCAAAGGCCTTAAACCTTAACTTACCCGAAGAGGTCAAAGGGAAGTCAGTGCTCCAAGCTGGAAAATGTCTCATAAAGATCCTCCTTGAAAATCAAGAAAGTGAGGTGGGCTGAATTGAAAAGATTTAAGACAGCACCATTCTCCTGGGGGAAACCATCTGTAGGGCTCTCAAGCTAAAGACATAGGTCTCCCAATAGGCTTCAAGACTGACAATATCTGATTAAGTGTGCCTCCCAAGATAGTGAGTGTATAGTGTTCCTCAAGAAGCCCTTGGGAAATAGTCCTGATGGTTGCATAGTTACATGCAAAGGGTATATGCATATTGTTGCAGTTGTATAATTTCTAGTATATAGTGTGATCTTTGTGCTTTATGACAGAAGTAAGCTCATCAGTATATACAGCTATGATTTTGCTTGGAAAAATTTTATACTTTAAAACTGAGAATTATCTTCAAGATTGCCTCTCACAGAATGGGAGCTATAGGTTAAGCACTTGACTAGCATGTTTGTGGCCCTCTAAAACTCAAATTTGTCTATTTGTAAAATGTATTCCTTACCGTGTAAAGTTTTCTCATTGGGAGGGTATTAATAAAAAAAGACTGAGAAACTCCATTGTAGAGTGATCTGACTGTGGCAAGCAGTATTGAAGAGTAAGTAGCAGGTGGGGACTAGGCCATAGCCAACATTTCCTATTTCCGTTATCCTTGTTCAGCTTCCTCTCTTTAATTTCTTTGGCTTATTGTCAAGACTGTCCTATCAGAGGTTTTGCATTCAATTTATATTTTCAAATTGTAGTTAGCATATTTGATTTAATAAAGTAGAACAGATAACATCAAAATGCAGAGTGACTAATCTTCCTTGATGATTCTAATGGTGTGGGTGCTGGGTGGTTGTTCACTATTACTTACAGTCCAAAAGAAGGCTTTTAAAAAGCTGAGGTCTATGATTTTAAAGCACCTTTGCCTTTAATTGTCTCTCTGGACAAATGCCAGCTTCAGATATTAAACAGGGTAGGTGACTCATTCAAAGACTTCAGCACAAAGGGAAACTGGCCAGAACTCAGTCTCCCAGGTTCTAGACAGGTTTTCTTTCCATGGAGAGTCCTACTAAATCACCTTGCTAATGGGCTTAAAGCTAACCTTTTACTGTATCTGACATGTTTTGAAAGAGCAGTAGCTGATCTGGTATATTCTGATTAATTATAATTGCATTTGGACTTATTTTATAGGGAATGGGCTTGGAAACAGAGAACCATGAAGTATGGAACAACCCCAGGTACTGGCAGACTTTAACATTGCTTTAGGGTTTGAGCCAAGAAAAAGAAATGCTTAATCTTTAATTTGTACACAATAGAATTAGCTCTCATAAGCCTTCATATATTTGTATTTCTGTGATAATTTTCTTATTGATTACTAAGTCACCAATTTTGCTTTTAAAATACAATCATTTTTGCTATTGAGTAGAGAACATTTTAAGTTGTTTGTTTAAGATAGGGTCACTATACATAGCCCTGGCTATATGAAAACTCACTCTACAGATCAAACTGGCCTTGAACTCACAGAGATCCTCCTGCCTCCACCTCCTGGCCACAAAAACAAAAACAAAACAGACAAACAAAAAAAAAACACTTTTTTAAAAAGGAAAACCTTAAATTGTCAGCATTTATCTTATGTGTGATGATGGAACTGTTTATCATATCCTTTTTCTAGATGAGACAATTTTATTACCATGGTTGAAACAAAAGGAAATAGTGAGTCTTTTAGGTACTCAGGATTCAATATAAATCATCTAGTGACAGTACAGGCGATAGTGTAGGGATCATTGCCCACTATACTGTATCATTTCTTTATAAAATCTGATTACATAAGTGCTTATCTTATGGATGAATCATACAGGGCATAATCCATATAAATGACTTTCTAAGAAATGAACTTGGGAGAACTGTTCTGATTGGAAAAGAAGTGGACCAATGTCGTTGGACATGTTTGAAATGCCTGTGCTGATTAGGTTTAGATTAATAAAGGTGGATTCTAGCAATGGGAAAGAATGAAAAACAGCAGCATTTCAAGAAACAGTGCAGGAAAGCACTGAGAAGCCTCCTGGTTTGACTGGGTGACGACAGACCTCCAGGGAAAATTCAGTGATCGTCTTATCTTTCCAGGAGTTTGGGAACTGAGAATAGCATGCTTGTGGAGAGAAGATCTTGGAGGCAGCACAGTAAGCCATGTTTTAGAAGCTCGGATGTGAAGCTGACAAGGAGACATTCAAGTGGAAATTGACGTAGAGAACTAGAAACCTGAATGGACTGGAGCCGCTGGCAGTGCAGATGTCAGCAGTGTAGAAGGGTGGCATCTGAACGTGACAGCAGGATGCTCCCATGACACAGCGGGAAGCAAAGCTGAGAGAGAGCCAGGGCGTGTCTTCTTCACACTGCACTTCTTGGTTGAAATGCCCTAAAATCTTCCACGTGGAGATCATACATTATGGTTTTTCAAGCTTTATGTATCTTACTGAGTTTGCATTAATAGAGATATTATGAACTCTAGTGAATAGAAAAGAAATCCATTGTCTAATATTCAAATGTGATTTTAGGCTAATGTATGCCAGTTTTATCAAAGCAAGCCCTTAAGAGCTGACTTATAACCTATTTTAATTTCTCATTTCCCGATAACACTTGTGTCTTACTTCATGCTGTCTTAACAGGAAGAGGCATTGCCAAGGTCCTCATTGCAAACAGAGGAGAAATTGCTTGCAGGGTGATACGAACAGCCAAAAGAATGGGCATACAGTCTGTGGCTGTTTACAGTGAGGCCGACAGGAATTCCATGCATGTAGATATGGTATGTTGATGTTAAAAGCTCAAAACAAAATCTTGTTAGCAATTGCATGTATGCTTTTGTGTCCAGTTTAGGTTTCTGCTTTTTTTTTTTTTTTTTTTTTTTTTGTGCTTTAGTGTTTTGCCATGGGAAGTTTCGGATCTATGTAAATGGAGTTAACAGACAGTTGTGAGCTGCCATGTGGTTGCTGGGAGTTGAACCTGGGTCTTCTGGAAGAGCAGCCGGTGCTCTTAACCATTGAGCCATCTCTCCAGGCCCTAGTTTAGTTCTTTACGATGACAGTTGATGCTTGCAAGTGTTAACAAAGTTTGTGTAAATAGGTTCCCACTACTCACTAAGTACATCTGAGAGACACTTTTAATACGTAACAGTGGTTAAACCAGTGTGCTTAGTCACATGCTTATTTACAGGCAGAGTACTTGATCTCATCAATGATTGCTTAATTCCAGATCCCTAATATGCTCGGACAAAAAGATCAAGACAACTGTTGTTAGCAGTTGTCACCTTAGACAAGTCACTTGAATTTTCTGAACTTTAGTTCATCAGTAAGATCCAAGTTAAAAACACCCAGCTCCTTTGAAGTTTGTGTTTTCTTTGTTGTTGGTTTTGGCTTTTCCAGACAGGGTTTCTCTGTGTAACTGCTCTGACTGTAGATCAGGCTGGCCTTGAAATCACAGAGATCCACTTCTGTCTCCCAAGTGTTGGGATTAAAGGTGTGCGCCACTACTGCCTGGCTGAGATTTGTATTTCAGTTATAACTAGTTCTTATATGTCAGGCAGAACTCCAGCATAGATGAGGTTGGCTGCTGACTCTCTTTAGCACCCAGCAAGACTGTATGCATTAGTTTGAGTTCCTGGAGCAGCCTCAATGGCCTTTCTTTAAAACCATAGAAAACTACTCCGTCTTGTTAGAAATAAATTTCCTCCTGCCTTTCAGGTCTCTGAACCTTCTCTCCTTTCTCAAAGTCCTTTCTGGACCCCACTTGCCTGTATGGACTCAGCTGTTAATGTTGAAGCTCTGGTGTCAAGACTCGGTCTTGATCTCCCTCCTTTCTCACTTATTCTAGACCACCTGACCTATCCCTTTGACTTCATGGAAAACTCCCAAATTTCTTTCCGTAGCTCAGCCTTCCCTTTGAACATTTGTCAGATACCAAACTGGTATGTCCTGACACTGAACTCTATCTATTTCGTCTATACTCAGCTTGATGTTCTTAGATACTTCCCTTCCCAGTTGATATCTTTGCTGATAAAAATAATGATGTAGAGACCTGGGTATGTTTAAATGACTCCCACTCCCACTCTATACATGACATCCCTCCCTCGTTTGGAGAGCACTGAGGGCTGCTACTTCCACTTCCCAGACACTCCCCTCCCTTCCTCCTGCCCTCTTGTACCTGCACCGGAAGTCAGGCCACTCTCTTGTCTTGACTGGAGCATGCCATTGCCTTCTGAGCCTTCTTCCTGTTCCCTCCTGGTCCTCTTAGGATCTCTGTCTTGCATTTTGGCCAGACCAAGTTCTGAACCAAAATTTGTTCATATAGTTTAATTGCTTTATGATCCATCAAGTTAGGAATACTTTAGGAGACAGACAGCTAATATTTGGTGTTGATGAAAATGGGTAGAATTGATGTGTTGATGGAGATATTTGCTAGTGAAATCCCGGTGGTGGTGAACCAGTGTTAAGAGAAGCTTTCCTTGAGACGAGCCTTCCCGCCAGCCTGGTTCCAGAGCCGCTTCAATCCCAAATAAACACACAAGAGGCTATATTCATTATGAAGCTGTTGGCCTTGCTTGTCTCTTACTGGCTAGCTCTGCTTTAAGTAATTACCCCATAATTGTTAATCTAAGTATGTCTCTTACCGGAGAATAGTTCTGGGCTCCTACCCCCATGGCGGTTACATGTTGACTCTCTTGTGTTTCCCCTTCCCAGAATCCTCCTCGACTCCTAGTCCCTCCTATCTAGGTTTTCTATTGGCCAGACAGTACTTTATTGACAAATGCACAGGCAAATAACAGGACTTCCCCAACAAACCAGGGACTTTAAAATGTACACATTTGCAACCCTGTCCTGCAAACATTCTGCTAGGTCTGTGACCCCAACATGGGGGGGCACATTCACATATAAATGCACACAGAGGAATATAAAGAATGTTTCATCCTTTCCTGTGTCTAGAACTGTGCCACTGCTACCCAAATTCAAGTGAAGAGGCTTGTGATTAAATGAGCTGTGGTACCTCCATTCTGTATAACTGTTCTACACAGTGTATGCCAGCAAAGAAGCACCCAAAAAATAATTCCAGAAGACAGGCAAATAATGTGATTCTATTTGTATAAAACTAAGTATGTGTGCTTATATTTATATGAACAAATTAAAATATGGATATGAAAAAAATGCTCCGAATTGGCTTTAGTGGAAAGTATGTCTGGAGAGGACTGTAATAAAGAAAGGGTGATACCCAAGACCAATTTGCCATTGTATTATTGTCCATGTGTGAGGATTCAGGCATTATGCTGGCCTGCCCCTGTCCTGGCAGAATGCATTCAGGCAGTACCCTGGTCAGCCTGGGTGCAAAGGACCCCTTTAAAAGAAAGACCTCCGCCTATATCTGCTCTCTTTCCTGCTGTTCCCCTGGGGTAGACAGGACTTTTCCTGTCCCTCTCCTCTCCTCTCCTCTCTCCTCTCCTCTCCCCTCCCCTCCCCTCCCCTCCTCTCCTATCCTCTCCTCTCCTCTCCCCTCCCCTCCCCTCCCCTCCTCTCCTCTCCTCTCTTCTCCTCTCCTCTCCTCTCCTCCTCTCCCCTCCCCTCCCCCTCCTCTCTTCTGTCCTCTGTCTGTGTGTCTTTACCTCTTTTCTCTTTCCTTCCACCTCCCTCCCCTTTCTAATAAAACTTAAGCTCTGTCTGCCTGGCGTGTTTGTCCCCCGCCTTGGTCACCCTCACCTGCCATGGAATCTGCCAAAGTTCCCACATGCTTTATAACACCATGATTTTCAGAATTAATATGGACTTATGTTTTGTGAAGTTAAAATATAAATTTTGGCCTATTTTGGTTTTGCTTTTTTGTACTTTTATCCCCAAATCTCGTTATGAGTTCAAGTAGGAAAAAGTATCCAAATATTTTTACTTCACAGAGGCCTCATGAAATCTGTGTTTTCACTGGTGTCTTGACCACCCACTTACTGTAACCCAACCATGTGAGCTACCCTCGGTTGCTTACACAGACAGTTTCCTGTCCACCTCTGGACCTTCACATGTATGTGTTCTCTCCATGGAAGCTCTCCAGTCCCTTTCCTAAGCTTACTTTCTCCATCCATCCCCAGGCCAAGTCCTTACCAAACCCAAGGAGCCTGCCCTAACCGCCCCTGCTAGCTCACCCTGGCCACCCTCAGACCAGAGCCCGTGTCTCTGCTACTGTTATGTCCCTGCCTTCTCCTTTAGGGCCTTTGTCACAGCTTCCGTTGGTATGTGAATGCTTAATGGCTGTCTTCCCTCTGTAAGGGACACTCCCCAACTGCAAGCCTGGCACACAGGCTGTTTATTAGACCAATCAGGTGCCTTAGGCAGGCACAATGAACTGAATGCAACACATCTTTACACTGTTAACAAAGGCAGCAGAAACAAATGTAACACACCTTCACACAGTCAAAGTAATACTCCAAACTGTAAACAAATGTAATGCATTTTTGCCTTGTTAAGTAAATATCCCATAATAGGTAACTGAGGCTGATGTGGTTCTATATGCAAGTACAAACTAGCCACTCCATCTTTAACAGGCAGATGAAGCATATTCCATCGGCCCTGCTCCATCTCAGCAGAGCTACCTCGCAATGGAGAAAATCATTCAAGTCGCCAAGAGCTCTGCAGCACAGGTGAGAACTGTGAAAAACTTTACAATGCAAAGCAAGTAAATTTTGTAGTTTATGCAAAATTGATTCTTTGCAGACATTTCTCTTTAGCTAGTTTTTACATGTGATTTTGAGTTATCTTTGTAAACTGTATACATTCTTTCTCCTTCCTTAGCCTTTTTTGCTGGGTGCTCTGTACTTGAAATCTTTTGGGAAGTAGGTGGAGGGAAAATCTAACTATAAGTTAGAACTAAGAGAATTGTGCTCTTCTACCTCAAAATTCAAGCACTTGGAACACGAAATGTTTGAGTTCAGACCAGTTTTTCACAGAAGCAATAAACAAATCCCTCTTCCCAGGCTACAGTTCTTTGCTGTCCCTAGTAACGATGGTGTTCTAAACTAAGGTGTGGGCGGTTCTAGGGTGGGTGACATGGCTCTTGCTGCTAAGTCTGTCAACCTGAGTTCAGTGGAAGCACAGAACTGATTCTTTTACGTTGTTCTCTGACCTCCACATGCATGCCACATGTGCACGCACGTGTGCACACACACACACACATGCACACACACACTGTACATGTGCGTGCACAATACTGTAAAAGATGTAATAACTATTTAATAACTATTACTTAATATCTTTCAACCTAAAATATGTCTTTGAAAAGGAAACTTGTATCTTAATCATGTTTCTAAATTTAACTTATACCAAGCATTTTTAAAATTCAATTAAAATTTTAAAAAGTTCATATAAAGGTAAAATGGTTTAATGTGTATATAAAGATAGATTGTTCTAGAGAGTCTACAAAGTTTGTTAATTCCACTTTAAAATTTTATTTATGTGTATGTATGTGTGCATGTGTGTATGAGTTTGTATATGCTTATGTGTGTTTGTTGTGTGTGCGTGTTTGTGTGTATATATGTATGTATGTATGTATGTTTATAAATGTGTGCATATATGTATGTGTGTATCTGTTTAAAATGGTGTGTGTGTGTGTGTGTGTGTGTGTGTGTGTGTGTATGTGTGTGATGTAGGGATTGGCAGCTCGTGAATGTAGAGATTAGAGAACAACTTTGTGAAGTCCGTTTTCTCTTTCTACCTTTCCATGGCTTCCAGAATAAAACTCAAGTTGTCTGGCTTTCTGCAGATACTTTATACCTGGGGCTCATACTTGTACACCAAGGGCTTATATTTATACACTAGGGTTCAAAGTCACATTATTTATAGATGATTAAAAAGTAGAGACAACTCACATATCTGTGAACAGATTAGCGAATGAACAAGTGTGGAATATATATATATATATATACATACATACACACATAGTGAAATATAAGCCTTAAAAATGAAAGAAATTCTGGTACAAGTTACTACATGGTTAAATTTGAAAACATGCTAAGTTAAATATAATCCACAGACAGACAAGTATTATATAATTCCATGGATAGGGTGACATCTAGACTGGTAAATTCAGAGAAATGGAAAGAGAAATAGTGGCTAGTTGGTCTTAGGGATTATGTCTAGGATGGTAATAACATTTTGGAGGTAGGTATTGATGACAGTAAGAGTATCATCAGTACAAATCGTGCTTAAATTGCTTGAACTGGTACCTTGTAGGTTTTGTATATATTACTACAATAAAAGATGCAAGGCCGAGGGTGTATCTCTATAGTAGACAACTTTCCTAGCATATGTCATATGTGAGGCAGCATCAAGTGAAAAAAAAAAAGAAATAAAATAGATTTTTCTGGTGTAAAACAGGTTTCAAAATTTCAACATGAATGTTCTAGGCATCTCTTCAAGAGCATGTTATGACAAAGGCCTTGATGTCTTGTCAGCCATATCTGGAGAGGTCTCCATGGAGGAGGGCACATCCCAGCACCAAAGGTTGCCAGCTGAGTGCTAGCTAGTAAGTTATTGTGCATTCTCTCCTTTCTAGGCCATCCATCCAGGATATGGTTTTCTTTCAGAAAACATGGAATTTGCTGAACTTTGTAAGCAAGAAGGAATTATTTTTATAGGTCCTCCTTCATCTGCAATTAGAGATATGGGTATAAAGAGGTAAGCATTATAAGACAATTTCAAGTAGTTTCTTTTATTACAACAGTTATTGTGTGTGTGTGTGTGTGCGCACACACGCATGTACACAGGTGCACATGGCAAGCACCCTTTACGTGGGTTCTGAAGACCAAACTCGAGGCTTGCAGGGCAAGCACTTCACCCACTGAGCCATCTTGCCAGCTCCATTAATAGACGTCCTAAAGTTATGCTGTTTTGTTGTTACTCTTCTGGCATGTAGGAAAATTCCACTGAATTATGGAAAATATACATGTAATCAGTGTTTCTAAGGTATGTATTAGCTGACCGGGATTAGAAGATGGTGGGATTAGCTACCACATGAAGTAAGGCCAAGTGTATAACAAGGAGTTTTAATGTGTGCGATGATATTGGTCCCAGACTGAAGTCCCTCCTTTGCTTGTGCAATGACTCTTTGAACAGCTGTGATTTATTGATGATATCACAGTATTTGGGAATCTTTGTGTTTTTACTCTACAGCACATCCAAGTCCATCATGGCTGCTGCTGGAGTTCCTGTTGTGGAAGGTTACCATGGAGAGGACCAGTCTGACCAGTGCCTGAAAGAACACGCTGGGAAAATTGGGTACCCTGTTATGATCAAAGCTGTGCGAGGTGGAGGAGGAAAAGTAAGGTTGTGGGTACCCATCCTTGCCATTTCTGGCTAGAGGTCTGTGTTTATGTTGTGGTTACACAATTGTTTCTTTCCTTAGGGCATGAGGATCATTAGATCAGAAAAAGAATTCCAAGAGCAGTTAGAATCGGCCCGCAGGGAAGCTAAGAAGTCTTTCAATGATGATGCTATGCTGGTGGAGAAGTTCGTGGACACACCAAGGTCGACTCCTGGTTTGAGTTTTTGGCTGTGTGTGTGTATGTGTGTGTGTGTGTGTGTGTGTGTTTAAGCAATACATGTATGTTCTGTAATCTATGGTTTTGTAATACTATATAAATTCTTGAAGTTCCCCAGTTGCACATATATAGTTATGAGTTAGAGGACAGTATGCTTGCATCTAAATATTTTCCTCTATGTTAATAGAAAACTCGTCCTCAAACACATAAGAAACAAAATATGCCCCAAAGAACAGTGAATAGAATAATTTACAACATTATAATGTTATTCAATGATATTATACTGCAGGCATCTTTCCATATCAGTGAACAATTACTCTGTCTTAGTACCTCTGTTCAAGGCAGAATGGCCCTGCAGAGGTGATATCCCAGAATCCCTTTGTTACTGGTGACACTTAGACCTGGAGGGCTGGAGGGAGCTGTCTCAGCAGTCAGCAGGTAAGAGCACTGGCTGTTCTTGCAGAAAACTGAGGTTAACTCCCAGCACCCACACAGCAGCTCACAACCACGTGTAACTCCAGTTACAGAGGATCCATGACCTCTTCTGGCTTCTGTGTGCCAGACACCAGGCATGTGTGTGGTGCACAGACATACATACAGGCAAAACACCCATACACACGAAACAAAAGTAAGTAAATCTCTAAAAAAAAATTAGTGGAAATATACCTGAGCATAACACAGTAAATGAAATGAAATGGTGTCACCATGCAGCCTGCTCACATGCTAACCTGTAATGTAACCTGTAATGTACTATGCAGAGCCCTTGAACTCCTGAGCCTCCCGTCTCTGCCTCCCCAGTGCCGGGAATGCAGGCAGGCACTACTGCATCCCGCTCTGTCAAGTAAGTGTTAGCATTTCTGTTCTGTAATTTCTAGTGAAAATAATACTTGAATGCTTTAGTAATCAGTGTGTTTTTATAACCTGCAGAAAAGAGTTCCAGAGAACTCCTGGCAGTACTTACACAGATGATCAGAATTACTGTTTATCTGAAGGGCTGGGATAGGAAACATCTCCAAAGTGTATTGTTTTAGAGAGGAAAAACCAGATTCCGTCTTCATTTTCATCCAACACGTGTTCTAGATGGCTTATAAACATACATAAGAAAATAACATGTTGGTGCTCCTGACATTCCTGGACTAGCCAGCAGTGTATATTTCTCTCTTTTCTAACCAGACTGCACACTGGTTGAATTGGAGCCACTGGTCAGATGCATCTCTACACTGGCTCTAGGACCTCCACGTTAGCACAAGGAAGGGTCACTGACAAGAAAATGAGCGCGACCCAGTGACTACAGAAACCATAACAGAGCCTGAGTCTAGGGAGCTTCCCTTAGACAAGTACCAAAGGAAAGTGAGCTTCCCTTAGACAGGTACCAAAGGAAAGGTGTTTCCTTCTTCTGGGACTCGGAGAAGAGCTACTGTGTGTGGTGTAGACCCACGTGTTTCTTTCATGACCCGGAGTCCCCACTAGAGCATCTTCCACAGAGCGATGAAAACATGAGCGAGAGTCAATGGACTTGACAAACGCACTCCATCTCTGTTGTGTGAAGAGGTTGGATATTCGGGAAAGCAGGAGGAAACAGAAACAAAAACTGAACACCATGAAAGACAGTGACATTTAGACTCATGGAAGAGTTGAAGCCACAGAGCAGACCACCCTGAAATCTGGACAGGCCTGTGAGCACAAGTTGCAGCTGAGGACCCCCATACCTGCAGCTGCAGCTGCTGAAGCCCTGAGACTTCATAGGAATTTCCAGAAGAGTCTGGCAACTTCAGTAGCAACCAGCTTGAAAGAGAAGCTCCCCTTGGAATGTGTGCGCCAACTTCCATGGAAATTCCAAATCTACCTCATGATTTGGAGGAATGGGAGGGAAAAGTATTTTATAATAGGCCTAGAATATTCTATTCTCCTTAACAAACACATCTTCCCAGGGAACCATGTTCAAGTCTGTGGTGGTGTGTGGGTCAGAAAGAGACGGTTGGTGGAGGTCAGGGTTGATGCGGCCCTAGAACCAGGCTGGCGGGAAGGCTTCTCTCCAAGGAAAAGGATTCCCTTTACATAAGTCTTATACAGTAAGAGGGGCACCCTCTAGTTAACTGTTTCACCTAAGAGGAAAAAAAAGAACAAAAGAGACACTTATGAGGTCACAGCAGAATCATGGACTGCGGAATAACCAATTTAATTTTAATGTTATACTAACTTTCTGTCATGTAGCTATGATCTATATGTATCTGTGAAAGCTAAACAGCCAGAATGACCACAAAATCTTGGTTGCAGTTTGGTGGTAAAGCATCATTTGCAAGGCTTTGGGTTCAACCCCCAGGACTAAGAAAGCATTTTAAAGAGATTGGGGCCTTGTGGATGTGTTAGGTCATGAGGGTTTTGTCCTGTCAATTTCTGACAAGAAAAAAAGAAAAGATCGCGAGGCCAGCAGAAAGTGTGTCCTCAAGAAAGAAAGCGGCTCAACTAAACAGCCGAGTCTCCATTTAAGTACTACCAAATTGGGAATTTAAAGTACTTATTAATTCATTACAGACTTTAATCTGACAAACAACAACAACAACAACAAAAAAAAACGTGGCAGAACAAATGAGAATCAGAGAGATATTGAAAAAGAGAGTAAGAAGAAAGTACTGTATTAGGAGTGAACACATTGGATTGGTTTTCAACATCTGGAAATGGGCAGCAAAGGAAAGAATTACTGGTCTGAACATAGGGCATTGGATACTCCCCAGGCACAAATGTCACAAGAAAAAAAATTTAAAAATAAAGCCCACAACAGAAGTATCTTCAAGGTATTCTATGATACTTGAATAGAGAAAGAAAAAAAAAGGAGAAATGACTTGAAGTAGTTATTGTTAAGGATTTTCCAAAATTAGTGACAGACAAAAAACCATAGCAGTAGGACAAATAACCAACTATCTGAATCAGTAGCTAAGTACCCACTCCTGTGCTTGTGAACTTTAACATGAAAGACACATAGAAGCCATGGGGGTGGAAATGCCCCCCAAAGACCTGTGTGTGAAGGCTTAGTCTCCAGCTTGACATTCCTTGGGGGAAGAGAAGGCTGGTCCTGGAGGGTGTGCCCTTGGAAGAGACAATGGGACCTACCCCTTCCTTTCCTTTCGTAGCTTGGAGATGTACTTGGCTCTGTCATGCCTTCTACTTTGGTGAGCTGTCAAAGGCCCAGGGCAGCAGGGCCAATTGGTTATGGGTTAAACCCCAGCAATCATGATATGCAAACAATGACAATTACTTTTCCTCTCTCTTTTTAGTGTTTATTTCTTTTTATTTAGTATTTATCTTTCATTATTAATATTATAACATTTCTCTGTTTCCTTTCCTCTCTCCAAACCCTCCTACATACCCCTCATTCTCTTTCAAAATCATAGCCTTTTTCATTGTTATTGTGTATGTGTGTATATATAGATAAACATATATGTGTACACACGCGCGCGCACACACACACACACACACACACACACACACACACACATATCTCCTATCCTGCTCGTTCTGAAAAATGTTACTTGTATGTATGTCCTCAGAGCCCGCCATTTGGAATGGATAACCAATTGGTGTGCTGTTCCTGGGGAAGATTATTTCTCCCTCTCAGCATTCTTCCGTTGCCCACAGTTCTTTGTGTAAGGTTGTGTCCTTCCCACCATCCCTTTGGCACGTCTGTTGTTCTTGTTCAGCTCATGTTTAGGCAGTCATGTTGGTGAGACTTTATGGGTATAGCTTCTGATGTTACTAAGAGATGCAATCTCACAGAAAACTCCCTGACCCTCTGCCCCTTACAATTGTCCCTCTACGTCTTCCACAGTGTTCCCTGACTGTGCAGGAGTGATTTGTAGATGTATCCATTTGGAACAGGCTCCACAAGTCTGTATTTTTGTTTGGTTAGGGTTTTTGTAGTGGTCTCCATCTGTTGTTGCAAAGAGAAGTCTCCTTAATGAGAGGTGAGGACTACACTTACCTGTGGATATGCAGGCAGATGTTTAGATTGTGTTAGGGATTATGCTGGGTTAGTAAAGTGGTGCTTGTAGGTTCTTCTCCACGACCCATGGCTTCACTAGACCTGGGTAGTTAGCTACAACTATATAAATAATGTGATGTATCGGCATTATTTGTATAGGCATAACATATGTTCACTCTCAGTATGACTCGTCAGATTTTTGCTAGTTTTTTTAAACTCAATATTAAATTGCCTTTTGGTTTTTCATGATTTAATGTCAATATACTCTTGAAATACTAATGATCTACATTTATTTTTAATTATTTCACTTTCTTTTTAGTTCCTTTATAGATGAGACACTTTGATTTCAGTCTTCTCTTGTTTATAAAATCTGACTATAAAAGTAAAAGTTTTTTTTTTTGCTTTTTAAAGCTGGTTATTATTGGCATTTTACAAACTATAGTTTGTAATTAATTTTCATAAACTATTTTTCCTTGTGGTTTTTTGAGACAGGGTTTCTCTGTATTGTTTTGGAGGCTGTCCCGGAACTCATTCTGTACACCAGGTTGGCCTTGAACTCACAGAGATCCACCTGCCTCTGCCTCCCGAGTGTTAGGATTTAAGGCATGTGCCACCAATGCCCGGCTCATAAACTATTTTTATCAGTCTTTGGCTTTTTTTGTGTGATTAATCCCTATTTTGGGTCACCTGTATTTTCATTCTTCTTACATACCAGTCATTTCAGATACATAGATTGTTTTCTCTAGTGTCTGTCATACAAGTAGAAACCTTCTTACTTGAACTTTGCACGATTGTAGCTATGTTTCTAAATCTATAACCTCAACATGGCATCCAGAATCATATCTTCCTCAAGAAAATGGAGGAATCTTGGTCATTTTGGTCAATAATTTGGGTTGATAAATGTGAAATGTCTGAACCCTTAATGAAGAATATTAACACATTGGTTTCTTCTTGAAATAGGCATGTGGAAGTCCAGGTGTTTGGTGATCACCATGGCAATGCAGTGTACTTGTTTGAAAGAGACTGTAGTGTGCAGAGGCGACATCAGAAGATAATTGAGGAGGCCCCAGCGGTAAGGAAATTGAAAGGACATTTCTGAGATTCTCTTGAGCGTAAACCTTGTTCAATCTGATTCTCACATCTGATCTGTAACACAAGCATCTCCCACCCCTAGTATCTGACTAGTAATGCAGTGATAAGACTTTGGTGCAGAGCTGAGGACCCATGAAGGTTGGGGGATGGCCTGGGGTGGGGTGGTTATTGTTCTGGGACCAGACCCAGGTTTCTAGTTAACTAGTTTGTTCTTACACTATTCAAACTAGAATTTTTGTTCTAGAATATATTATATATTTGAAGTACCTGTGAACAACTTCAGTAAAACTTAATTATATATATATACATATATATATATATATACACACACACACATATATATATATATATCTCCTATCCTGCTCGTTCTGTGAAATGTTACTTGTATGTATGTCCTCAGAGCCCGCCATTTGGAATGGATAACCAATTGTTGTGCTGTTCCTGGGGAAGATTATTTCTCCCTCTCAGCATTCTTCCGTTGCCCACAGTTCTTTGTGTAAGGTTGGGGCCTTGTGTCCTTCCCACCAGTGATTGCTTAAATGTCTGATGGTAGAACATGGTTTTAAACAGTGCCTGTAGAAACAAGTGATGTCAGATTCCCTTGAGTTCCCCTACAGGTTGTGAGAGGCCTGATATGGGTTCTGGGAATCAAGCTGTAACCTTCTACAAGAGCAGTACATACTTTTAACTGTTGACCCAGCTTTCCAGCTTCATTTTTGTTTCGTTTTGTTTTGATTTTTTGAAGCAGTTTCTCTGTGTAGCTTTGGAGCCTGTCCTGGAACTTACTATGTAGACCAGGCTGGACTCTAACTCACAGAGATTTGCCTGCCTTTGTCTCCCGAGGGCTGGGATTAAAGGCGTGTGCCACCAATGCCCGGTCAATACTGATCTTTTTTCATATATAGTTATGAAAGTTGCTTTGCATACAAGGGATAAAGATATGTAATTGTATTGAGAAATATCTGCAGTTCATAGACATTACTAGCAGAAGCATTCAGCTTTGATATATTGACAAATTGGTGTATTATCTTTAATGCATTTATTTAATATACACTGTTATCTAATGTACATGGTTTTTTTTTTTTTTTTTTTTTTTGGTTTTACGAGACAGGATTTCTCTGTATTGTTTTGGAGGCTGTCGGTCCAGCCCGGCCTCGAACTCACAGAGATCCGCCTGCCTCTGCTTCCTGAGTGCTGGGATTAAAGGCGTGCGCCACCACCGCCCGGCTTCTAATGTACATTTTAATTGTCTTTGCATTCTGGTGGAAGTGTATAGAGACCACGCAGTGATGAAAGTTATTTTTACTATCTTCCCGTAGCCTGGTATTAACCCTGATGTGAGAAGAAGGCTGGGGGAGGCTGCGGTCCGGGCTGCTCAGGCTGTCAAGTATGTGGGAGCAGGTATGTCAAAACTCTCTTGCAAAAATTGTATGTGTTTCATGAGGTAAAAGAGACACACATCAGGCTCTCTAGATATTTTTACTGTAGCTACAGTAAAAAATACACTCTTAAGGAACAAGCATCTCCTAATCAGTACTTAGTCTAATCATATAGGAAGTTTGGTATTCCTATTCTATTTCAAAATTGTTTTTCTCTTTTAAGATTATTAAACTTTATTTTTAGAGCATAGTTTTTGTTTTTGTTTGTTTGCAGAGCTAAGAATTGAAGTCAGGACCTCACATATGCCAGGAAATAGCTTAACCATGGAGACACATCCCAAAGTCTTTCAGAGCAGTTTTCAGATCACAGCAAAACTGAAGAGAAAGCTGTAGTTAGCATCCCTGGACCAGAGTCTTATCTTGTCGTGTGAACCTGCATGGCTCACGTCCTATCCTAGTCTATGTTATTCACTCTGGTCCATAGTTTAGAGCTGTGGTTCTCAACCTTCCCAATGCAGTGACCCTTTAATACAGTTCCTCATGCTGTGCTGACCCCCAACCATAAAATTATTTTGTTGCTACTTCATAACTGTAATTTTATTACTGCTATTAATCATAATGCAAATAACTGATGTACAAGATATCTGATATGTGACCCCTGTGAAAGGGTATTCCTACCCCAAAGGGGTCATGACCCATAGGTTGAGAACAGCTAGTTTAGGACTTACCCTAAGTATTATACATCCTATGAGTTTTGACAAATGTGTAATGATTTGTACCTACTCTTGCTTTAATAGTATGATACAGAATAGTTTCACCGACATAAACATACTCTCTGTTTATGTCTCAGCCTTAAATACTGGCAGCCATCAATCTTTTTCCTGCCTTCGTGGCTTACCTATGTAAGAATTTATATAGTTGAAATCATACAGTGCGAAGCCTTTTCACATGGCCTTTTCCTTTTAATAGTGTATATTTAACTTTCCTCCATGTCATCTCACAGTTTGTTATTCATTTCTTATTGTTCTAATAATACTCCATGTCTGTATAATTTATCCATTGATAAGCTTGGTTGCTTCCAACATTTGGCAATTACAGATAAAGTTACTATAAACATTCATATACAGAATCTGGTGTGGATAAAACTTTTCATTTCGTATATATAAACTCAAAGAATTGTAATTGTTAGATCATGTGGTACGAATGTTTATCCTGAAAGAAACTGTCAAACTGTCTTCCAAAATGTACCATGTTTGCATTCCCATTAACAACGAACAGTTCCCGCTCCAAATCTCCTGCAGCATTTATTTTGTGTTGTCAGTTATGCTGGTCAGTTTTTGTTATGTCGCAAACTCAAGTCACCTGGAAAAAGGGAACCCCAGCAGAGGAATTGCCTCGATCAGATGTCCTAAGGGCATGTCTATGGGACATTTTCTTGATTAATGATTGACACAGGAGGGCCCAGCCCCCTGGGTGGCACCACCCCGAAGCACGCCATCTTGGATTATGTAAAAAAGCAAGGCGGTCAGTTGGGAAATCAGAAGTAAACATTTTCAGCCTTTGCTGAGCAAATCTTTAGTGACCTCTGGAGAGAGCACAGCCCCTTCGTTACTCGTTCTTTTCTTGAGTTTCGCTCACCTGCCAGTCAAAGTGTGTGGCTTGTGAGGAGATCCAGCTATTAATCACTCCGTGTTGTCCCCGCTGCTTTTATCTTCTATACATCTTGAGGCAGGCCTGACTCCTCTGGCACCTTCTTTGATGGTGTGGTTTGAGTGAGAATGTCCCCCAGGCTCAGATGTTTGAGTGAGAGTGTCCCCCAGGCTCAGATGTTTGAGTGAGAGTGTCCCCCAGGCTCAGATGTTTCAGTGAGAGTGTCCCCCAGGCTCAGATGTTTGAGTGAGAATGTCCCCCAGGCTCAGATGTTTGGCCACTTGGTCTCCAGTTGGTGGAACTGTTTGGCTAGAAAATGTGGCCTTGCTGGAGGAAGTATGTCACTAGGGCAGGCTGTCAAGTTTCAAAGCCTGTGCCATTCCAAGGGCACACTCTGTTTCACACTTGTGCTTCTGGATGTGACCCTTCAGTTTCCTGCTCCAGCATCATACTTGCCACCTGTCACCCTCTGGGACATAAACCCAGAAAAGCCTCACAGCAACAGAAAGGTACTTAGGACAGATGGAGTCGGGGAGAGCGTGCTATGATGGTATTGGGTCTGTCACTCATTCTTTTTTTTTTTTTAATTAATATTTTTTTATTTTCCATTTTAAATTTAGATAAGAAACAAGGTTGCTTCACAAGTCAGTACGAGGTCCCTCTCCCTTTCCCTCCCCTCCTCCCGTGCCCTCCCCCCATCCCCTCCCCCGTTATCCCCTCATTCCCCCAGGGAGGGTGAGGCCCTCCATGGGGGTGTCCATAGTCTGTCATTTCATATAGGGCAGGGCCTAGACCCTTCCCCAAGAGTTCAGGGTGAGAGTGCACCTCACATTGTTCTATGGGAGTCCAGAGACCGTGTGTATACTTGGGATGGGTACTGATCTGCTGTCCAAGGCTCAATAGATTACCTAGGCCTCCTCACTGACACCCAGATTCAGGGGGTCTTGATCAGTCCCATGCTGGATTCCCAGGCTGATGCCTGGGATTCAAGAGTTAACCTTTGTCTGGTCAGCTGTTTCTGGGGGTTCAACCAGCCCAGTCTTAATCCCTTTGATCATCAGTCCTCCCTCTCTGATACTGGCTTTCTTGAGTTCAGCTCAGTACTTAACCAGCCAGTAAATGAAGTTTCTGTTTCCCAGACTCTCTGGCCATAGGATTGTAGGCTGGCACTCCCCAGATCTATTCTTGATGGAGAGTGAGGGCTGTGCTAAATCTCACTAGAGCTCTAACCTCTCTCTGATATCCCAGAACTGGCTCCCATTTTCATCCTGCAGCCATGTGCCCTCTTTCCCAACCTTTGCTCCTCACTATCAGACCAGCTTTCCCCAGCACAGAGCTGTCAGCAGTGTCACTTCAGATCTCTCCCTGTTCTCAAACTAGCCCTGAAGGCTCATGCCCCGCATGTGTGCATAACCTTTGCTGTGGGTTTCTTGATATGGAAAAATGTTAGGACCTTTGACCTGCAAGTCAGTAAGCTCAGACAAGGTATTCTCAAGGCCACCCTAGAGACACTGGGCTGCAGAATTTTCCTGTCTCAGGCTGTTCTAGGTCTCAGGTGTACATCAGCTGCCTGTCCTCCCAGTGCTGGGCATGCTCACTGCACTTTTCTCCCAGTGCCTGGGCATGCTAACTGCGCTTTCCTCCCAGTGCTGGGCATGCTAACTGCGCTTTCCTCCCAGTGCTGGGCATGCTCACTGCATTTTTTTGGTCTGTCCGTCATTTTTGCCTTTGCCGTAGCCTCAGATGCACTGTGGCATGCGTGTTTGCCTCAAGTATCTTTCCTTAGCCTTCACTCTCCGAGGCTTCTGGGTTTGGTCAACTGCTCACAACTAAACCTCAACACCTTCCCAGAGTCACATCTCCAAGAAAACTGCTCCCTGGTTGTTTTGATTCTGTTCCTTGAAAAGTGGGTGATTATGTGCTTCTAATCTCATCTCTGTTTCTTGAGAATTGTTAAGGAGTTGTCTGTAGCTCAGAACATGGCTATTCTAGGTGACTAATCATTGCAAGCTTGAGAATGTATTCTACTGTTGTAGTCCATAGATAACAATAATATCTAGTTGATTGATGCTGCAATTGGGTTAAGTATATCCTTACTAATATTATTAGAATATTATCATTTTTCAGCTACTGTGGAAAATTCATCTATTTCTCCTTGTTCTCAGTTTTTGCCACTTGTGTTTTGCTACATATTTTTGCAGAATTGTCATATTTTTTGAGACATTTTGTAACAGTCCTGACTGTCCTGGAACTCACTCTGTGAGCGAGGCTGGCCTCAAACTCACAGAGATCTACCTGCCTCTTCCTCCGGAGTGCTGGGATTAAAGATGTGCACCATCACTGTCCAGCTCATCTTTATATTATTATTCATCCATGGTAACATTCTTTGCTCTGGAGTGTGTGTGATCTGTCTGAAATAGTCAATCCTTCTTTCTTTATTGTTTGTATGAAGTTTCTTTCTTTTACACTTTTCCTTTAAATCAGTTAAATCTTCACAGTAAAAAGGAGTTTCTTGTAGACAGTATAAAATTGGGCCCTTTTTTATCTTTTATAGACTTTCTTTTATTCAGTATGGAACTATTGATGTTTAAAATGATTGCTGCTACAGTTCAAATAATGTCTACCATGCTGGTCATTGTTTTCCATTTAATCCCTTTGTTCTTCGTTCTTAATTTTGTCTTTTACTCATTTTCTTCCACTCATTGTTTTTTCCTGTTTAGTTCTGTTACTTCCATGGTTTTAATTGAGCATTTTATACGATTACCATTTTTTTCCCTTAACATCACTTGGTAGCCCTAAGACTCATAGTAATACGCATTCAAATAACCTAGCCCACTATCAAGTGACAGTCTTGGGATAGTGAGATGCGCTTCTCATCTAGGGCTGACCATCTGAGCTCAGTCCCCAGAATCCATAGTGGAAGGAGAGAACCAACTCCCAGAAGTCCTCCTCTGACCTCCACATGTGTGCCATGTGTGAGTCATAGACACACACAGCGATAGATACACTTTAAATAAAGTTTTAAACCTTTTAAAAAGTGTTATCATTTCATGTCATAAGCATGGGGTACTTACAGTAACAATTAAATATCTCTAATATCTCCTTCTTGTCCCTTCTGTTATTGCTGCCATGGTCTTTGTTTCTATATAAGCACATATATGGAGATATACATAATCATGTTCACTATTTCTGTTATTTTAAACTGTTTGTTAAATCAACTAGCAAGCAAGAAAAGCCAGTTAGTTAGGAGTTCAGCCTACTTTAGCCTATTTATTTTCTGATGGTATTCCTTTATATGGACACACATTTCTTACAAGGCTGGTATATGATTGTATTCATTTGACAAAAATCATCTCACCTATACTTAAAATAGAGTATTGTATAAGGTTAAATCTCATAAAACTGAACAATGTTTGCCATTTCCAGTACTACTAAAAAATATAATAGGGGAAGTATTGCAGATCTTACTAGACTACCAATAGACTTTGGCATGCAGCTTAGATACTAACAGCTAAAAAATCTTTCAGTGTGTCTCTAACAAGGACTTTTGTAACACGAAAAATAAAAGGCCAAGAGAGAGATATTAGGGTTCAAGCTTCTAGCTGAAGATCATAGAAGCGAAGCAGCCAAGCCAGTAGATCTTACTTCTGCCCAGCTGAAATGGCAATCCTGTCTCTACAAATCCTCAGAGGTAAAAGGCTCTCAGATCTTGTTTCCTCCTCCTTATACTCCTTTCTCTGCCCAGCCATATCACTCCTGTCTCTACCTCCATAGTGCTGGGATTAAAGGCATGTGATCCCAAGTGCTAAGATCACCTTTGTGTGAGCTGTTTGTTTTCAGACTGAATCAATTTCATGTAGTCAGGGTGGCCCTGAACTCACAGAGATCCATCTCCTCTTAACCCTGAGTCCTGGGACTAAAGGTGTGCACCACCACCTCCTAGCTTCTATAGCTAGCTAGTGTGGCTGATTTGCTATTTTGATCTCCAGTGGCTTAATAAATCATAAACAATATATCACCACAGACATTTCTTATTGGGAGTGGGGAACAATACTTAGGGCCCAATGTATCTGAGATAAAAGATCTACCATGCAGCTACATCCCATCCTCACAAGGACTTTAAGAGGGAACCACAGGGATCAGGGGGAATTATTACTCTTTGTCCAGAGTTCAGGTGAAGTGGGACCTCATGGTATGAGTTCTGGGGTAGGTAAGCTGGGACAGTAACTCACAGTTCAAACACGTTCTCATTTTCCATAGAAGATAAGACTGCATAATATGGGCTCTGCATTTTCTCAGAATTCCAAAGATGTTTCATTGCTACATTTCATACAGTTCTCTATTTTAAATTGAGATTCATTTGCTGTGCAAAATAGGACCTTTTCTTCATGAAATCAAATCATATACCATAAATGACATATGCAGCAGTAAAACTCAATGTGCTGTATCATAGAAAAACTTTTTAAACAAATTTTTATTTTTATGTGTGCATGGGTGCTTTGCCTGTGTGCCATTCCTGTGGAGGCCAGAAGAACATCAGATGTCTGTTAGTCATGTGGGTGCTGGGAACCGAATCTGTGGAGGAGGTACCATGTTCAGCTGCTGAGCTGTCTCCAGCTCCCACCATAGGAAATCTGATTTGCTGCTGATTATATAGCACTCAAGTGTGACGACTGTGTTTTACCTCTTAGGAACTGTGGAATTCATTATGGACTCCAAGCACAATTTTTATTTCATGGAGATGAATACACGACTACAGGTGGAGCATCCTGTCACTGAGATGATCACTGGAACTGACTTGGTGGAATGGCAGTTCAGGGTGAGAGTGTTTTTCCTTCTAAAGACCAGTCGTGGGCTATGGATATAGCTTAGTGGTAGAGTGCTTGCCTAGCACAAGTGATGCTGGGGTTCAGTTCCCAGCCCTACCAGAAATCAGATCAGTGTTGAGAATACATTATGTTGTAGACTCCTTTTATTCTACTTTGGGTATGACTTACTTTTGGGGTTGGGATGAGGACAGGAAAATGGAAGATCAAAAAAACAAAAAGAAAAAAATGGCTAGGCAGTGGTGGCACATGTCTTAATCTCAGCACTTGGGAGGTCGAGATAGGCAGATGTCTGATTTCAAGGTCAGCCTGGTCTACAGAGTAAGTTCCAGGATAACCAGGACTATACAGAGACACTCTGTCATGAAAAAACAAATAAACAAACAAAAAAACCTGCATCTGGTACTGCAACATTATTGACACTTTAGGAATGTAGATTCCCAATTTGTCAATTACCTTCATCTCCCCATAGGTCCTGGGCTGCAGGCAGGTGAGCTGTATCACTGTTTCTTGTCCTGATCACATGGCCAAACCTTGTGATTTACCTAAGGCCACACCATTCCGGACCATGCCACTGTTAGATTTTAGAGGTGAGACATGCTAGCCAAGATGAAATAACCTAAGGAGTTGGGAATGAAGAGCTAAGGGCATGGTCTTCTGTCAATAGAGTGATCCATGGAAAGTACACTTGCAGACTGCTGTCAACCCATGAGTAAGTTCATCTGTGGTAGCCATTCACATCCAGTGTTCAGAAGATGTTGTAGTTTTTGACACTGTTGATGTGTCTGCTACACACACACACACACACACACACACACACACAAATAGATCTGAAACTGTAATAATAATATGAAAGTATTTAGTATGAATATTCTTGATTTCCATAGGATTCTTCGTTCATTTTATGTACAGAGTCCAGGTTATTTTTCCCATACTTTGATGACGAACTCATGACATAATGGATAAGTCTGTCTTTCCAAAACTTGTGGGCAGTATTGTCATGTTTCTTTGGTGATTGATTGCTGGATCAAATTGAACCAAAATATTCTTAGGGATCTATCTGTAGCATTGAAAACTGGAGAAAACCAGGCACAGTGAGCTACTAAACATTAATAGTGTCAGAAAAAACTTACCAGAGTATTTGTTTCTAGATTTCAAGAAAATGAATTCCTCCCCGCCCCCACCACCAATTAGTAACCATGTGATCCCATGAGCTGCCTGCAGCTGAAGACACTTATGAATGTGACCCAACAAAAAATTATGAAGGGTTGTTGGTGCTGTTGTTGTTTTGATTATAACTTCATTGCAAGGTTCTCAAGCATAAGCTTTGTAGATGACATTATCATGTTGCATTGTCAGAATGTTGTACACCTAATAGGACTTTAAAATCATGGAGGAATTGTGTTCCTAAGCATTTAGAAATGAGAAGGAAAAGCAGGGATGTTTTGTTTCTGGATCTCAGGAAATTGCAGGAGCTTCAGAAAAGGAAGTGAGCTTTCCTCATCCAAGGCCACATTCCAGAAATGAAGGAACTGGGGCTGACATGGAGTCATGCCTGTGCAACCTGGACAGTTGATGATTCGTCAAGAATGTGAGCTCCAGGCCTGCCTCTAGAATCAAAGACTTCTTAAAAAGAGGGTTCAGGCTCTTGACTCTCCTTTTTGTCTTCCTCTCTCTTTCCTTTCTCTTGCTCCTCCCCCCTTTCTCATGGCCAGCTCTGCTAACCATGCTTAGTCTACTCCTTTCTCTCTCTGCTCTGGACTCTTCCAGATGCCTCTGGCTGAACTCTCCCTCATATCTACAATAAAATCTTTCCCTCTACCATAAAAAAAGAGGGTTCAGTGGTTCAAACAGCTGAGTTCAGATGACCAGTAAGGCCCGGAATCCTAGGGGAATCTTCAAGGCTTTCAGATGCTGAGTGTCTATTTGAGAGTGAAAGTGTCACAGAGTTCCTAACCTGAAGGTGTAGTTAGGACCAGTCTCTCTTGTACTCAGATGGGAAGCCAGTGTCAGAAAAAAACAAAAAACAAAAAGTGACCAGTAAAGATAAGCCAGTTTGAATATGGTCTGTATAATAAGAAATGTGATTATATTCTGGAACATGGGGTACATGACCAACACTTTCTTCTTTTGCATGTGAAGACAGTTAGAACTCTACTCGTGTATCAAGAAGAGTTTCCTTTTGAAAGGATAAAGATTTCTATGGTGCTTACTATAAACACTTGAAAAATATCCCTGGGTAGGGGGAGTGTAGCGACAACGCAACCCAGGAGGTATGGGGACAGAGACTGTGGTTTGAAACACCATAAGCATGTTTAATTTCGCTATTTCTGCTTTGGTTCTGTACTGGTCAGAAGGATGCCATCCCTGTTGTGTGCTTACCTTTGTGGTTCAGAGCCATACTAAGTTAGTCTTTTCTCCTGTGTCTATAGTGCTTTTGTGAGTTTTTCTTGGGGAAAAACTTGAAGAGAGGAATGTCCACATATCACCTATTACAGCAGTTTTCTACCTGTGGGTTGTGACTGACCCCTTTGGCAATTCTCCATCTCCAAAAACATTTACATTATGATTCGTAACAGTAGCAAACTACAGTTGTGAAGAAGCAATGAAAAGAATTCTATGGTTGGGGTCACCACAACATAAGGAACTGTGTTAAAGGGTCACAGGGTTAGGAAGGTGAGAACCACTTCACTATTAGCTTTTTCTAATTCATACTAATTGAAGAGTAAAGCTTATTAAGTTGGTATATAAGAGCCAAAATGAGAGGCAGGCGGATCTCTGTGAGATTGAGGCCTGGCTGGACCGACAGCCTCCAAAACAATACAGAGAAACCCTGTCTCATAAAAACCAAAAAAAAAAAAAAAAAAAGAGCCAAAATGATAAGTATGGTGGTAACAATGACATAGCTCTGCAGCCTGTGATCTAGGTTACACGAACATCTTGTTCTTCTTTTTGTCTTACTCTGTCACTCGCTTGCTGGTGACAGTAGTGTAAACAGGCCGTTCACAGCTTTCTTCATTGGTGTGAATGTAATTCCAGATATCAAGTGAAAATATAGAGATGGTTGGGGAACTGAGTATTATATTGTAAATGTAAACAGCATCTTACTGATAAGAAAGTTAGGTTTTTGTGGTATTAAACACTGATTTTTTTTTTATACTTAGAAATTAGGCCTTCTCCACCTTAAAACTCTAGAGCCCATGGTAATTAGCAGATTATCCCCAAGCTGACTCTGTTTCTTGATGTACCACTCAAGGGGCTGGACAGCACCATTTTCATGTGACTGCTTTATGGGGCCCAGATGTCCATTTGGACAGGGTAGCAGGACTTGAGTCTGTTAGGAACTCTAATGTGCATTTTCATGAGAAGCACTCTCTTGTTACCAGATTGCAGCAGGAGAGAAGATTCCCTTGAGCCAGGAAGAAATCCCTCTGCAGGGCCACGCCTTTGAGGCGAGAATATATGCAGAGGACCCTGACAATAACTTCATGCCAGGGGCTGGACCATTGGTTCACCTCTCTACCCCTCAGGAAGACGTGTCCACAAGGATTGAAACTGGAGTACGGCAAGGTAACATTAAATGAGACCAGAACTCTCGCTGTAATTAACTCTCAGTCTGTCTTCTCTAAGATGAGGCCATACTGTGTTGCTCAGACTGAACTCAAACTCCTGGGTTCAAGTGAGTGTCTTGCCTTCACCTGCCAATGACCTAGAACTATGGATCTCACCACCATACCCAGATTTAACTGCATTGTCATCGTGTGTGTGTGTGTGTGTGTGTGTGTGTGTGTGTGTGTGTGTGTGTTACGTTTTATTTAATGAATTGCTTTTTAGGGTTTGGTGGGTTGGTATATGTGTGTCAAGGTGGGCATATGGAGGCCCCAGGACCACATACAGGAGTGGTTTCCCTCTTACCTTATGGGCCCAGGAGATTGAAGGCTTGGAAGCTAAGAGTAGAAATAAGTTTAATGTGAGAGGGTAGGGCTTTGCCTTGACCTCCAAAATAGAAAGGAAAAGAAGATAGGCTGAAGAAAGCCACCCCATGTGTCTCTCAATCACATGATAAAGTCTAGTACTTTCAGTGGCTAATCCTTGTTAGATTCTGGAAAAGTTTTTGGATCCATCTGAGCCTTGGTTTCCTGGAAAATAAAATTGTGCTAAGGGTACCTGCATGCAAGAGTTGGCGAAGATGAGGGTGAAATGACAGGAAGAATGTCTTTCTCTGCTCTGCTTCACTCCTCAGAGTTGTGACATTGATAGATTACCTGTTTCTCAATTCCAGGAGATGAAGTCTCAATGCATTATGACCCCATGATCGCAAAGCTCGTTGTATGGGCCGCAGATCGCCCATCAGCCCTGTCGAAACTGAGGTACAGCCTTCATCAGTACAATGTGAGTGAGCTGAGGCCAGTGCTGATGCCATTTGTCAGCAGGGTCACCCTGTGTCTTCCTCAGGGGCTTGTGTTATCACCTCATTCCTGAATTCCGTTATACCAGGCACAAAACGGTTCTTCACAGGGCAAGTCCCCAAGGGCGAGGATAGACTTTGAGGGCATCCTTGTTTCAGTTGGGAAGAAAAGGATTGTAGAAATAAAACTGTTAATGTCAGTACTGCATTCTAGTAAAATCGTAGTCATCTATAAGTAAGGCCAACTATAGGAGTGGGTGTAGTCCATTTTCTTCAAAACAAAAAATGTAATCTTCATTTTCATCCATTTGACTTTTTCTTGGTGCAAAAGTCCCAACTGCCTTAATTTCACTTCATCTTACGGTTTTAAAATTGTTGTGTGTTATTAATCCATTTCTGTAGCTCTCAACACTGGTTATACTTGCTGTCCCTTCAGTACCTCAGCAAGAAGTGCTCTTGCCTTCCCAGTAGAGTGTCTGTACCTTGTGCTGTCTGCTGACTGTCCTCAGTCCTGCTCACTCCCTCAGACTCCATCTCCAGTTGTTCCATGTAGAGCAGGACACTTGGATGTTCTCTGTCACCTTGGCCAGCCTCAGTGTCTGTCACAGCCTTTGGAAGGCTGGGCTGCTTCTGTTTTGTCTCTCACTGTCCTCAGAGCCTGTGTCAGATGCTGGCACCCAAAACCGCTCAGGGAATGAAATACCTTTAATCCATTGATTATTTTTTTCAAGGGGAGGTGAATTAGAGTGACGTTACTCCTTTTTTTAAATTTTTATATCCTCGTACAAACTTTGGATTTTAGTGTTGGAAGGAAGTTCCTTTCAGGCTGTTTATTCTCGTTACCTCTCCATTATCACAATCCTGCCTGCATTTGCAGTCATCCTAGTGTGTGGAATGTTCTAAATAACAATCTTCGGTCTCTTGAAAATAAATTTCATGTCTGTTTTTTAACATTCATTGCTTTCCTAACCTGAGCCAATTAAATGTTTAACCTGAGCCAAGTAAGCCCACCTGCTCTACCACATCCTATTTCCTGTTTCTCTTGTCAAGCTGGATTTTGAAGCGTAAGTCTAGATTTGCAGTGATAAGTCTGGTGACTGTGTGACCCTTCTCCATAGGACACCTTAGTAGGTGGTAGAGCGGATGCTTTTCTGAATATGTTGTTTTCCATACTCAGCAGGACCCCGGGTTTGCTTCTCTTCTTAGATTGTTGGCTTGCGCACCAATGTGGACTTCCTGCTCCGGCTGTCTGGCCACCCAGAGTTCGAGGCTGGGAATGTGCACACTGACTTCATTCCTCAGCACCACGAGGAACTGCTGCCCACTCACAGCGTCATAGCCAAGGAGGCTGTGTGCCAGGCAGCTCTGGGGCTCATCCTCAAAGAGAAAGATATGACCAGTGCTTTCAAACTTCACACACAAGGTACAGAGCCCACTTTTCTTCCCTCGCATTGTCCCCTGAGTCAGCAAGAAACCATCTTCTCTTTGTGTGTGTCTTTCTTGCCTTTTCTGCTTCCGGTGACTGGTCCCATTATCTGCAGATGTTTTCCAGTGTGGAATATGCATGTATCACAAGTGCAAACGTGAGCACTACTGAGCTCAGTAATTGTAGCTCACCTAGCGACCTAACATCATAGAAGTTGGTCTCTGTCCAGCCAGACACTTTTCTTTCTGTCCCTTGTGCTGACCCCTGTTGACTTGGTGCGTCTGTGGTTCGCTTCGTTGTACCCACAGCAATGCCCTTGGTCGCTCAGAGCCCAAAGACAGAGCACAGGAGATTCAGATTCCTTTGAGCTAGCCATGCTCCCTTGTTGACTTTCTTCTTCCTCTCTGTTTCCGTCCTGTAATTAAATTTTTATCTGGATAGAGAGGTCAGGCCTTCAGGGTGTCAGAAGATGCACTGTGAAAGATTCTGTCCTGGTTGCTACACATGCTTTCCTCCTCCAGCATGCTCTAGATGGTTGCCCAGCTTCTGCCTGGCAACTGGCTACCTCATCAGATAGCGTGTGATAGCTTCATGCAGCTCTGCATCGGAAGGGCTCTGTCTCTCTCTCTTCCCTCCCCCACCCAAACTAACACAAAATCTGCACTCTCAAACTTGCCCCCAATATTTACTCAGGATAATGCTGAACATTGGATTTAACATAATTTTAAGTCTTTTATTATTAGAATTACTATATTAAATTTTTTGGTTTGGGTTTATTTTTATTTATGTGTATGGGAGTTTTGCCTCCATCTGTGACTGTGCTCCATATGCATGCAGTGCCCACCAAGGCCAGAAGAGGGCAGCAGAAACCCTAGGACTGGAGATGGTTGTAAACCTCCACCCATCTGGGATTCCAATCTGGTCCCTCTGGAAGAGCAGCAGCAGCTGCTGCTAACCATCTCTTTAGCCCCAGGATCTTATATGTTCCGACCTCCTATAGGATTCTGTTGCTAGCATCTTTGATTTTAGATTGTTTTCAAGATCATTATATTGAAAGCTTAAAGAATGCAACTCTGTCTTTAGATTTGTTTCCTCTGTTCTCACCCTGATCCTTTGCTCATTTGTAAGTTTATAAGGATCACAGGCTCCACACTAGATGACTTCAGTTTAGTTACCGCCTCTGGACTGTGTCCAGCAGAACATACACACCTCAGCACACAGAGCTGGGCCAGTGACACAGACACCCAGGGAAAGGAAGACAGAGGATGGCACAGACTGGGGAAGGGTGGGGACCTCTGTGCCACCAGAGGACCAGAGCCGACGTACAGATGATGCTTAGATCCTTCCGCAGCAGCTGGGACCTCTCAAGTCATAGCATCTAGCTTGAATCTAAAATAGTAAGACCTGAGCTGCCAGTCAAGGACCCATGCTTTCTGTTCACTTTTGTAAAGTACACGTTTTTAGGGGCTTGATACTTGTAATTTTGTTGTTGCATTTTAAATTTTTTCTAGATCAATTCTCTCCGTTTTCATTCAGCAGTGGGAGAAGACTGAATATCTCTTACACCAGGAACATGACTTTGAGAAGAGGTAAAAGTGGTGAGTAATGTTTCATACAAGAGAACTGCAGAGTGTAGAAACGCCACACATTAAACCAACAAACTTCCAGCCCAGGCAGGCTGAATCAGCTGTGAGTTTTTTTGTTGTTGTTTTTTGGTTTTATGAGACAAGGATTCTCTGTATTGTTTTGGAGGCTGTCGGTCCAGCCTGGCCTCGAACTCACAGAGATCTGCCTGCCTCTGCCTCCCGAGTGCTGGGATTAAAGGCATGCGCCACCACTGCCCTGCCAGCTGTGAGTTTTTAAATGGCTAAGTTGGAGTTGATTGGCTTGGTGTCATGGTTAATGGTGTACATTTTCTCCTCATTTTTGTGCTTTTAAGTATTCTGAAAATATGCTGTAAGACATGCCTAGTAAAAAGAAATATGACAAAGTGTTAGTGAGGTGTGATCTGAGGTGAGGCCTATCTCCTTGGATCTTTGTACTTTTTATTGTTTTGCAAATTTGTTTTTTTGCTCTAAGAACATTGTTTTTTAGATGAGAACACTGGTCAAGACTGTTGGGGTCAGAAGGTTCCCCGTTGTCCCTTGAGATCCATGTCGAATGGGTCACCAAAGAGCTATCATTTAGTGTATATCTCATCATCTGACTGTTTATCTTCACAACAACTTAACGAGGGGGTTCTAGGGAGTCTCTGCTCATGTATGAATGCTGAACCTGGCTTGCTAAGGGAAACATTGTATCTCCTGAGTTAAGATGTTGCCTTTTCTTGGCATAGCCGAGTAGGTAGAGTTTGAAAGAGAGAATTTCATCATCTCCATTGTTTACACAATGTTCTCTCTTTTTTTTCTTCAATGTTTCCCTTGTTCCTTAAAGATGTTGTCATAGCTGTGACATATAACCATGATGGGTCGTATGACATGCAGGTAAGCCTTGTTGGTTCTGGTCTCAGAGCCACATCCTGTCTTTCTCATACTTAGTAGGGTTGCTTTTCCTTCTCAGGTTTCCCTTAAGCCTTTGACCATTGTAACTGTAATGAGAATGCCACGTGCTTTTATTTCAGAGAAGTTTGAGGGAATCATCTCTGTATTGTTTCTAACTTGTTTACTTAGTTTGGCTATGGTCTCCTTAAGCATAAAAACTTAGCAAAAAGAATAGCCATGAATTAAACAGCTAATAAGCCCCTCAGATATGGGCACACATTTCACCAAAACAGCAATGCTCAGATTGGGACTTTATATACCTTAAAATCAGATGTGCAAAGAGCTATTAGAAAACTTAAGAAAATCAGATGTACAATTTAGTGGCACAGATACATTCACACTGTTGTGTAACCATTGCTACCACCCATCAACAGATAAAACAAAAACTTTCCAATCTTTTTCCTCTGTTTTTTGACAATTTCCATCATAACTATAATGCATTGTGAAGACCTCTTCTATCGCCTTCTCTTCTTCCTCCCCTACCCCCCAACACGTTCTTTTTCCCAACTGGTCCCCTCCTGAGCTATTAGCTGAATATTTATAAATAATAGTAAGTCTCTGAGTGGTAATTTGGAAATAACTGCCGGGACAGAAAGCAGGCAGTCAGGAGAGGAAAACTGCCTATATCCAGCAACCTTTAACTGCCAATTGCCCCTCTCCCTACTCCTCTTCCTCCTTCCCTTCTTCCTCTACCTCCCCACCCATGATAAAATGTTTAAGAGCCCAGTCTTACACAGGTATGGCTATTGTAAAAATGCTGCTAGGAACACAGGTATCTATATTTTAATCCAGTTATTTTGTTGTTGCTGTTGGGTTTTGGGAAGACGAGAAAAAACATAAAATCTAATATCACACAAGTACCCATTACATTAGCCATCATTAAGTGTGACATTCTCACAGGTCCAATGGCTTCTGGAGAATTCTACTCCATACTCATGAGGGAAGAATGTTTTAAAAGGCAGATAGCATCTTGGTTCTATTATGAAAACAGTTTGATTTTGCAATTTCTCTAAATGGCTCTTGGGAAACCCAAGGACTCTAAGTCATTGTCGCTCCATGGTAAAGCTTAGGCTAGTCCTTAATTGAAAGAAGTCTATTGGCAAAATGAAATGCTAAGAAGGTTCTTTTGTTATTATTCAATTATGGGGGTCTGACTCATGAGTCTATAGCCTGGGTGGAAGTCAGAGGACAATTCACAGGGGTGGGTTCTCTGTTTCCTGTGAGTCCTGGGGATCAAACATGACACCTAGGCCTTCAGGCTTGGAAGCAGGCACCATTCACGGGCCCATCTCGCCTAGCTCCTTAAAGGGGTATTATACAAGTTCAGTGACTAATCACATGTAATACGAACTGAAAGATTGCAAGTTCTGAGGATTTACTAGTTCCATGTGTTAGATTTCCCAACACTTGGAGACCCAGCAGTTTTTCTTCTGCCCTTCACATCAGCATCGGAAGCCACCCACTTTGGATATGTGCACGGTGCTTCCTTCGTACTGGTGCCTCTGGTTTGGGGACCCTTTCTTGTCCCTTGATGACTAGTAAATTGACAGTTGTCCTGGTTGGCTCATGGGAATAAATGTGCTTCTGTGAATTTTTAGACAAAACATTTATACCTGGGATCTGACAGATAGCTGCTTTAGTAGCTTACAGGCTGGAGTAAATGTCATGTTTAACTTAAGGGAAATGAGAACAAATACAAATTCTGCCATGTAACCTACTTCACCTTAGTCCAAACAGCATATTTGCAAAGAATGACACAGACTCTGTACTAATATAATGAGAATTGAAATGAAAAACATAGATTTAAATGGATTTTCTATGTGTGAGGGAAATTTTCTCTTGTGTGTATATTAAAAGAAAACAAATACTCTTTAAAACAGGAAAATGTATCCTTTTGCCAACTCTCTTGAGACGTAAGTTGTCTTCTGACACAGCCTCTGAGAGCAAGACAACTGTGACCAGTCCCCACCTCATCTGTCCTTTCAAATCACAACCAAAGCCACGGAGTCAGCCCTGTATGTTGATGACATAAAGCAAGCGCCCTCTATGTGGGTCCAACTTCATTTTGTGTCATTGCTGACCTTGCACAGGGAAACTTCATTTAACTTAAGAACTCAAAAATGAGTACCAGCATGCAATATAGCAGGAGAATTGAATAGTTTTGTTTGGTTTCTATTTATTTACTTATATTCTGAATTATGTGTATTTAGAGGGTGGGGTATGTGCAACTGGGTGAAATTACATGAAGAGAACAGCAGAGGGCATCAGGTGCCCTGGAGCTGGAGTTACAGGCAATTGTGAGCTGCTTGACATGGGTGCTGGGAACTGAACTCAGGTCCTGTAAGAGCAACACACTCTCATCCCTGTTGAGCCATCCCTCTAGCCCTTTGATGTGTACTTTTATTTGACATTTTTATGCTCTTCTTTCCATTTTTTGATGGGCTTTTATGTGTAGCATTATGGTGGTGTGGATAATTTAATTATCTTATTGCTATTGGTCTCTAAATTGTTCTGGTTAGGAATCTGAGAGTGGGGGTTCTGCATGGTTCCTTGAAAAATATACCTTTGAAACTGCTAATGATGAAGACATTTTGATTTTATTAACTCTACGCGGTCATTTATTTTAAAGACTTTTTTCCCCCCAGATTGAAAATAAGACCTTCCGAGTCCTTGGTGATCTTTACAGTGAGGGAGGCTGCACCTACTTGAAATCTTCTGTTGACGGAGTAGCCAGTAAATCCAAGTTCATCATCCTGGACAACACCATCCACCTGTTTTCCATGGTAATGTCCCACTCTCCTTTTGATGAAGTTTCAATCTGCCGCCCAAGCTGGGCCAGAACTCATGACAATCCTCCTGCCATAGTTTCCTGAGTGCTGGGAAGGGGTGTAGACTACCATGTCTGGCTTTGATGATAGCCCTTTTGGGGTTTGGGATGGACTTGATTAACCAGAAGCATTTCACCTAAAGGCCCGCTCCCTCCAATCACTGAGACCATGTTTCCCCCAGTTTCCCTCTCCATATTGCTCTGTCACATTCGCACCTCTCCAGCTCTCTCTGTTTCGTTCCTGTGGGTTCCTCTTGTTAGACATGGCAGTCTCTCCTTTGAAGTGAAGCTTGCACTCTTCTTGTGAGTGGCTCTGCTCTCAGTGCGCCATTCTCCCATTCTTCACCCAGACTCATCCCCTTGACACTTGGAATCCTGGGGTTGCAGAGGAGGCGACCACTGGGAAAGCAATTTGGACTAGATGCTTCTGGCAATAGGGAAGTGAATGGGGTTTAGTGGTGATGACTTGGCACTCAGGAAAGAACCAGGACAAGCTTGGCTTGGCTTTGGTTTAGAGCCTGCTGACCATTAAGCCCTTAGTTTCTGGGCAATGGAGAGAAGACTGTCCATCAGAGAGGTGGGGCCATATCAAGACCTCAGTGTTTATGGAGAAAGGGCATTCATGATTGAATTGTGCCTAAAGTCAAGGACAATGCAGCTTTCCCAGCTGCTCCCCTCTGTGGCCAACAACGCTGTAATGGTGCCAGGCTGAGAGGCAGACCATAGAAGGACCAACAGCTCTGGAAGGTAAAGCTGTCCTGGGTCAAGCCCTGCCACTCAGCAGCTATGTGACTTGTACAGTTAACTTTCCAGGCTTTGGCTCTTCCGTCTATAACCTTGACTAGTAAGCATACCTCCTTTATAGCAGTGAGACTATTAATGGCATAGTGTGTATATAAGTGTGAAGTTCTTACTGTAGACTACATTCTCCATAGTAAAGATGCTGCTAAAAACTCTTCCAGAAAGCAGCCATCATGTCACCTACAGTCCCGTCTTTTAAGTCTCAGTCCCTGGCTAGGCATCTCTACCATTACCTCTGTGTCATGGGAGAAGAGACTGAGCAAGGATTAGTAGCCTGTTAAGATCACTAAGCTTCATTAGAACCCGGTTAATGGCCACTAATGGTTACTAGTAGCTTGAAAATTATCAATCCCTTGGGTATACTAATGGAAATAAAGAGATGAGATCTTAATTCTATGTACACTTTTTGTATAGGAAGGCAGCATTGAAATTGGCATTCCAGTACCCAAGTACTTGTCTTCAGTGAGCTCAGAAGGAACCCAGGGAGGTACCATCGCTCCTATGACTGGAACCATTGAAAAGGTAATCAGGGGACATCTGTAAAATGATGCCAGCCATGGCTAGAAATGTCTCTTTTGAGTATCCTTTCTTTGTATATCCTTTCCCTCCCAAATTTTTGCTCATTGGAAAGCACTCACTTCAAGAAAATAAGAAGACTGAAGTATAGTGGTTCAATTGTCAATGTATGTAACTACCTATTTTGGGGTGTGTGTGTGTGTATGTTTGCGTGCGTGCGTGCATTGGGTCAGAGTTCAAACCCAGAGCCTCATACATGTTGAGAGCGCCACACCTGAGCTCTACCCCAAGACTGCTAAGGGAGGATTGTTTGTGTTTATTTAACTTTATTTATGTGTGGGTGTTTTGCCTGCATGCATGTCAGAAGATGGTATTGGAGCCCATGGAACTGGAGTTAGAGACTGTTGTGACTGCTGGGAAGCAACCTGGGTCCTCTGGAAGAGCAGCCAGAGTTCTATCACTGAGCTATCTCTGCAGCCCTGAGACTGCTACTTGAAAGGAAGCGTTTACCTCATGGTACAACGTGTCCTGCTAGGTTCCTGAGCCACGGATCTCAGCAACTTGGCAGATTGAGGCATGAGGGTCATCAGAATTTGAGGCCAGCCTGAGCACCAAGCATAGCAAGACGCTGTGACAACCAAAGAAAAAAGTACAACTAGCGAGCGCTGATCTAGGAGCATGGCTCAGTGGCGGAGCATGTGCTTAGCCTTCTCGGGCACGTGGCTTCAATCCCCAGTGCCAAGGAAAAGAAAGAATGAGCGGGGAGGGTGAAGTGAAGTGCAGATACAAATAAGTACATTTTTTCTGTTAACAGTGTCATGTTCCCACGCTGCTCTTTAAACCCTCGGCCAAAGTGGGCCTCCTCCCTCAGCTTCTCAGGTGCCGCCACACCCAACTCAGTATTAAGAGTGAAAATGGAGTGCTCACCAAACATTATCTAAAAACTCAGAGTTTTAATGTGAAATTTAACAACATACAATGTTGCCGTGAAATAATGACAATTGCCTACATGTGAGAATGAGTTTCGAAGGCTGGTACTGGGGGCCCATGTTGCTCAGGGTGGGGTGCATGTTGGAGAGGAAGTTGTTAGTTTTTGTGGTTTCGAGACAGGCTTTCCTTATGTAGCCAGCCTGACCCCAAACTTAGAGTACTTGTCTTGCCCCGTCCTTCAAGTGCAGAAATTACAAGCACACCCTCCACAGCCAGCAAGCCAGATGGTCTCATACAGTCTAAGGTATAGTGTGGGGCATTCACTCTTTTAGTCCACTTGGCTGCTAGCACGGACTTTCATATGCTGAGGACTTGTAACTACATAAGTTCGTTCTTTGTGGTTCTGGAGGTTGGGAAAATCTCAGATAATATGACTGGTGAGAAGTCTGCTTCTTGATGTCACAGCAGACCGATCATCTCCTCTCAGTGTCCCCACATGGTTGAAGGGCACAGCCTCTCTTGGACTTTCTCTGTGAGGGTACAGATTCCTGGTATCTAATTAATCATTCTTGAGGACCCCTAACTCCAAATATCACCTTGGGTTTAATATTTCAACATGAATTTCAGCAGGATTCAGACATTCAAAGGGTAGCACAAAATGATCAAATTCTTGTGGGGATAAATAGATATCTGGTCTCCCCAGTACATTAGGTCATGCCAATTCCATTGCTGCTGTAATAGGAAACTTTCCTCACATAGGGTGAAGTCTTAGTTCATTCACCAACACTGCAAAAAATAAAAAGTTCAGGTGTATATCCTTGGAACAAAAAAAAAGAGAGAGAGAGAGAGAGGAAGATAATTATTTAGTTTCCTGCTGCTCTCCACTGTGTGAGCTGCTAGACTTAACTTGGTCAATCTCAGTTCCCACCAGCCTACCACAGAGAGGGACGTCTGCAGAGAATATCCATCTTACATCTGAAGATAGGCACATGGTGGCGCCTTCGTGAGGCTGTCCTGAAGAAGCATCACCAAGGACTGGGTGATCTTTGGTGCACCCACAGATGCCTGTTGCTTATGACTGAGAGCTAACTCTCCCAGGGATGCCTTTACAGACTGACTGGTAACTTAACTAAGGAGACACTTGACCTATACCAGCCCATCAGTCTTGTAGAACTGGAGAGAGGGATGTCCTTTTGATGTGGCTAATTGTTTAGTTCTCATGTGAGGACTGTTTACACACTTGTAACACAGACTCAACAGGTTTTGAAAGGCCATCGAAAGCAACTCCTAAACTAGGAAACTAGTCAAATGCCTCATCCCCACCCTTTATGAGATATTTACCAATCTCAGTCCTTCCTGTGTCATTTAGATATCTACATTTACCTGTAGCAGACATCCAGGTCTGTCCTGAGTATATTCATGGAAGACAAAACTGTATCAAATTATGTAAAATCCATTCATCTGAACTAGGCAAAGCTAGCTCCGTAACCTAAAGAGACTAAACACATACACACTCAACAGTTCTAGCAGTGCTGGGTGGACCCGCAGACTTGTTACGTGGCACATCAGTCCACGGCAGATAATGCAGACATGTAGGCATGTGCTTCTGTTCTGTTTGTTCATGTACCAACTCTGGAGAGCAGGAAGGACCTGTGTTTTAATGCATCCCTTGATCTCCAGGTGTTTGTGAAAGCTGGAGACAGAGTAAAAACCGGAGACTCTTTGATGGTTATGATCGCCATGAAGATGGAGGTATGTGACATCCCAAGTTCAGTTGCCAAGTAAGCCTTGGGAACAACCTCACCTAGTTGTTCTTTGCTTTATTTGATGAGTTAATAACATCTTAAATACTAACAGTCGTAACCTGGCTAAGTATTCACTGCAAGAAGCTAAAGCAACCAGCCTTCTGGTAGATACAGGTTTATCTTGTAAGCCATACCTGCCATTCTGTACTTCCTGAAATGATCAACAGCAGTATCCCAGCAGAGCAGTCACTGTCGCTACTTCCTAAAGCTGAAGAAGGGTGACAAGTGCTGGACTCCTGGCCCTAGGCAAATACTGCATTCTCTTTGGAAGCTTTGTAGACCTGCTTCCAGGGACAAGTTTAACTGGGACCTCCAACAGGAAGGCCCAGTTGTGATGCTGGGATTGATCCCAGGGCTCTGTGCAGCTATTGGGGTACTCTCAATGGCACCCTGAGTCCTAGCACTTCATGTAAGCTCCCCACATGGAAGTGTGATGTAAACCCTGTTGAGATTGGTCTTAGACAAGAGCCTCCCAGCCATGTCCTTGATGGTGTTAGTGCTCAGCATTGACTCTTCTGTAAGTGTTTTCTCTGGATGGAGATGTGTATAAACAAACTGAGAAACTACAGGGCATAGAAGATATTAGCTGTTGGTTTTTTTTTCATTTTTGTCTACCTCTAATTAGCTTGGTGTGTGCCTGACCCTCGCTGGCATGACTGCATTGTTGTTTATGTCCCTACAGCATACCATAAAAGCTCCAAAGGATGGCAGGATTAAAAAGGTGCTCTTCAGAGAAGGGGCCCAGGCCAACAGACATGCACCTTTAGTGGAGTTCGAGGAGGAGTCTGACTAATGAACTGTGCCCATCAGAGAAAGCCAGCAGCACAGCATCCTACCTGCCTGATACCCCAAGTGCCTCCTGAATCTCGAGATCCCAGAAAGAGGAACTTTATTCAAATGATGTGATGGTACTTAAAATCCTTCAATACATACAAATTATCTCAAAGATTTCATAGAAATAAAACTCAGTTGTATTTTTCTTTTTTTTTCTTTTTGGAAACTGTTTGCCTTAAATCTTATATGTTCACTCTTTGAGGAATAGGGTAGAGGGCAGCTTGATGAAATGAGAAATTAAAAGGAAAATGTCGTATAAATGAATGGCTTTCCACTTATCCCTGATGACAATACCGTAACATTCATGTCACAAGGCTGAACTCAAGCAAGGGTAACTTAATTGAGTAGTTTAAGACATGGGTGCTACTTGCTTCTAGTCCTTGTGTTTGGAAAGTTTCTTTTAGATTCTTCTGCCTTTATTGTACTTTCAGGGAGCCCGGGAAGCCCCAGGTGAATGAAGTCTTGACTAAATGTGTGCTGTTGACCTGGGCACAGCCATGTCAACGACCTTAGCTTTAGACCCAAGGAAAATGGCAAAGGCTCCCCCATGCCCGATATTCCCCTTTGGGGATGAGGCTAAGAGGAATTTGAACAAGGCCTTCCACTGTTTCATGTGCAGGTATTGATGGTGTGTGCAAACATTGTCCATCATAGCCTTCTACCCCTGGGATGTTTACAACCTGCTCTCCTGCAGAGACCACTCCTACCAAGATTAGCTAATCTGTGGCCTCCATCCAGCTGTATACCATAAACCCCACCCCTTGTTTACATGTATGCCATAATCTCACATGCTTGTTTGATTCTGTGTAATAAACACTCTGCACATCCAAGGTGCTATGATTTCTCCATCAGAGTCTGGTCTATGTAATCCCAGTCTTGTCTTCATTCCCTTGCCACCAGTCAGGGCTGTCCCCGGAGCTGTGCTGGACATGGCACTACTGCTCTTGCCAAGTGTGCACTTTAAAGAATGTGTCATACTAGAGCATTGCTTGTCTTTAATTTGGATAAATTAAAAAGAAGTAATTTTGTATAAAAGGGAAAAGGACAGAGGGGATGGTAGAATGACTAACACAAAAGCAAGAGGACTAGGATTTTGATTCCTAGCATAAATGAAAATGCTAGGTAAGCATGCCAACTTGCCTGCAATTCCACCCTCAGCAGGAATTGGTATGAGCCAGCTAGTAAGACTAGTCATATCTGTGAGCCCTGAGTTTGGTTGAGAGACCCTACCTCTCAATAAGGCGGGAGCACAGTACAAGAGGAACTCAGATGTCAACTTCAGGCCTCTCCACACATGGCTGACACAAGGAAAGGGGCTGGACTAGAAAGAAGGGCCGAGAAGGGTCCAGGGGAAGGAGGAAGGCTGAAGTGCAGCAAGCTTCTGCAGAGTCCCCAGGGATGGAATTAGCGGGGGAGGAGAGGCACCTGCAAGCAGCTGCTGCAGGCCTGGGGTGAACCTGGAAAGAGTGTAACGGAGGGCAGGGGGTGAGGGTTACCTGGTCAATAACTTAATCAGAGGTGGGCATAATCATGTCACAATTTCCAAAATGTATCCCTGCATGTCAGGGAAGCCATTCCAAGGCGGCCATGGCAATTGTGTATGGTCTTATTGTGGTAGTATTTTGTTTATGATTTATTAAAGCCACTGGATATCAAAATAGGAAAGCAGCCACACTAGTTAGCTATAGAAACTAGGCGGTGGTGGTGCACACCTTTAATCCCAGGACTCAGGATTAAGAGGTAGATGGATCTCTGTTAGTTCCTACAGATCCACAGCATGAGGCGATAGCCTTCCGGACCATATAAATCATGACTTTTCCAACTATAGTCTCATCAGTAGACACTTTTCCACCCCAAGCAGATACTTTCCCATCCATTTGTTTATTTTGGAGCTGACCAGCAAGCCCAGGGCCTTGCACCTGCAGACAAGTGCCCTGCATGGGGCTGCACCTCCAGCCCCAAATGTCCCTTCTCTGGAAGAAGGAGCTACAAAGTTTCTCTGGAAATTTCTAGTTACTGTTTGCCCCCTTTCAAATAATACTATTTAGCTCTTTCAGTGTAGCAAAGGGAGCTCTTTAAGTGAATGTGTTTAGAATGTGTGCATAGAAAAATTTTGAAGCCCAGCAGTCCATTACCACTGTGGTGGTTTTGAATAAGAATGGCCCCCATAGACTCACATACTTGAATGCTTGGTCATCAGGGAGTGGCATTAGTTGAGAAGGATTAGGAGGTGTGGCCTTGTTGGAGTAGGTGTGGCCTTGTTGGAAGAAGTGTGTCAGTGGGAATAGGCCTTGGGGTTTCAAAAGTCTCAGTCAGTCCCAGTGTCTGTGTCTCTGCTGACTGTGGATCCAGATGTATAACTCTCCTCTCCAGCACCATGTCTGCCTGCATGCCACCATGCTTCCCACCATGAGGATAATGGACTGAACCTCTGACCTGTAAGCCAGCCCCAGTGAGATGCTTTCCTTTAAAAGTGTTGCAATGGAGGGAGCTGGGAAGCAAGCTTGTTTCTAAAAAGTGTTGCAGTGTTCATGGTGTCTCTTAGAAGTAATAGAACATTTACTAAGACACAGTATATTTATTCTTAGAATGATCACCAGCTGTAATACATGAAGGCAGGCAGTGAGACTAGATCTCCTACAAACAATTGACATAATTTCCCCTAACTTGTCCTGCACAAGAAAAGTATTTTTTCCTTTATTAGTACAAGTTTGACAAGAAGCAAAAGACACTCCTCTAGCCTCCATGCTCCGTTAGAGCTTGGATAGCAGTGAACTAATGAGTGATGGGGAGGTTGGTGTTGTGGCACACAGCTATAATCCCAGCATTCTGAAGCAGGAGGATGGTGATTTGCAGGCTCGGCTGGGCTACACAGTGAGACCTTATGGTTTTTATTTTAAGGTGGAAGCCCAAGGATGTAATCTTTGTTCTTACAGAACTGAAAAGCTCTTCATGGTTAGCTGAGCTCTAGTGCTCATTCGCCGCACTGAGAAGAGAGAATCAGGTAGTATCAGGACACTTCAAGCATGGGCACTAGCCGAGGCTAATAAGGCAGGAAATCCAGTGTACTGGGGCAGAGTACTCCAGCATGGGCTGGACAACAATCAGGGAAGCGGCTGCCCACAAAAGCAAAGGCTTTTTTCACTTCAGTGTGGACCTGGAGCCCGGGGGCTGCTGAAGACTTCCTAACAGCTTACGTTTTACAATTGTATAATGTGCACAATCTTGAGTACATCTTGGAGAATGTGGAGACTGTCCAAAGGAGCCCGAATGCAAGGCCTAAGGCGGGGAGCTGAGAAGGAAAGAGAAACCTTGGCATATATACATTTTAACTTCTTTTTTTTTATTTATTTTTTTCTCTGAGACAGGGCCTTGTGTAGTACTAGCTAGCCTAGAACTCACTATATAAACTGTTGTGTGACAAATTCTTTCCTGGGGGGATATAACTCACATCTACTCACCCCACATAGGGATCTCAGTACAGTAAGTGGCCTTGAAATTGCAGCAATCCTCTGCTTCTGCACCCAGGTACCAAGATTACAGGCATGAGCTACCATTCTTGTATTTGTTTTTTGGCAGGATCTCTCTGTAGCCCACGCTGGCCTTGAACTCATAGTAGTCCTCCTACCTCAGTCTCCCAAGTGCCCGGGTTACGTGCTTGAAACATCGCACCCAGCTACATGTCCTTAACTTAAAAGCAGTTCTCCTGGGTTAGAGATGTTGTTCATGGGTAGAGTGCTAGTCCAGCATGCACAAGGCTCTGGGTCCCACGTAGAGAGAGAAAAGGAGGGCCAGGGTTGGAAAAGAGAGCTAAGTTCAGCCTAGCTGATTACTGTGGCAAACAGTAGCCTTGGGAGATGACAAGCCTTGGTTAGGCATGCATCAGCCAGTTCCTTCTCTTTCCCCCTTTGACTCTAGTCTATCCCAGTGACTAGGACACCTGCCAACCACAAGCACACTATATGGTTCTCTAGGGAAGCTCCTAGTATTTACCAAGCTGGCATGTTGCTGGAATCTGTGAGTTAAAGGTTATCAGTTTCCCTGGAGGACAACTCATCTCTCGAAAGAAGAAAGGGCCTGGATTTGCTCTATCTGCCCGTTAGCTGCAACATACCCATAGCTGTCACTGCAGGGAAGCTTTGTGTCTGGCTTCAGTGTGGGCGGACATCACTACTTCCCCTGGACAGCAGAGTAGGGATGGCTTGTAGCTAATCTCCTTACCCCCAAAACAAAACCCTTGGGTGTGTCAGAAGTAGAAATACCTCCCTGAACTGAACTTCTGTTATGGATAAAATGTTTTCAGCGTTGTTGTACCTTTCATCAGAGGACTTCAAGAAACACTCCGAGATATTCATACAGTGCTTAAAATTTTCGGGAAGACCAGAAAAGTGATTTGAACTTTGTGTGAGAGAAGAGTTGGAGGTCTCCAAATGCTTTGCCTGTATTGGATACTTCTCTATGGCTGTAATAAAACCACATGGCCAAGACAACTTAAAAAGAAAGGTTATATGGGTTTTACAGTTCCAGAGGGATAGAGGCCATGACCATGCTGGGAAGCCTGGCAGCAGGCAGACAGTTGGCAGGCATGGTTACAGGTGCAGTACCTGAGAGAGATGCCATATTTTGATTAGCATGCAAGAAGCGGAGAGTGAGTACTGGAGTGTTTCGGGTCTTTTCGAAACCTCAAAGCCCAACCCCAGCAAGGCACCCTCTCTAGCAAGGACATGCCTCCTAATCCTTCCCAAACAGTTCCACTAAGAGGGGGTCAAGTATTCGAATGTATGAGGCTACGGGGGCACCTTTCTCATTGCTCTACCATGGTCCTCAGTGCAGGGAAGAAAGCCTTGGTCATGGCTTCTCACATGCTGAACACACAGTTGCTCACACTTTCTCAGGCTACATCCATGATAGCAGACTTTGAAGTCCTACTGGGCTCCCTGGCAGACCTGCTCAGAGCTCTCAATCCATAGGCCCTTTCCCCAGGACCCTACAGTGTGTCTAAGAGCACTCACGATTCCTCTGGGCAATAGGATTCCCAGACTATCCTCATCACCGGGTATGTGTCTCATGGCTTCTGAAATTAGGATGTCTTAGTCTCAGAATTTCCTGCGGTGAGTTTCCAAGATATGCACTCTTCTCCCAAACCTGCAAGCCTCGGCAATGCTTACATTTCTCCTTTCCCTTATACCCCAAGTAATGGCGAGTGCAATTACTCATATGTACCAGCCCTCATTATTGCTTTAGTAAGCCTTTAGGTTAGAAGTATTTCTCAAGGAGTTAGATAGTGTAGCTCAGTAGGAGAGAATTGCGAGGATGAGGAGGACGAGGAGGTGATTAATAAAGTTGAGAAGAGGTGCTGGGAAGGGGGTCAGTCCATGGAGAGTTCAAATGGGAAGAGGGGGTGGATATGATCAAAATACACTGTATACATTTACAAAATACTCAAGGAATGGAAAATATCCTTTGAAATTAAATACATGCAGGGAGTAATCTGCCCACTCAGTTCTACCTCCAGCAACAGTTAAGACTGTCGGTATTTCCTTACACTCACAAAACAAGTAGCAGTGCAGGCTCATCTTCCCCACAGCCCCATTCACAGACAAAGTAACATGCTAGACAGCCCTTCTGATGAGTGTGCAATGAGTCTTACTGGGATTTTATTCTGCATTTCCTTAGCGACTAAGGATGAACACTTTTTCATATGCCTAATGGCCTTTCAGATACCCTTCTTGGTAAAAGGTCTATTCATTTCTTGTCCATTTAAAGACTGAGTCTGCCCTTTGGCCTACACGAATTCCTCACCCATCTTGGGCGTCCTATATCTAACAAA